GCAGAAATTCCTCAAAGCATCTTTCCTAAAAAGAATGCAGATGCAGCTTAGACCTCCAAGGAAATAGATATTTTTAACTTTTTATTTTTAATACCTGAAGGTGGGAAGCTAATTTTTTTCAAGCTCCCTCTGCAGTTAGTAACTGAATCCAGATTTTTCAAGAATTCATTATGTACCTTCTCATCCTCAGATAGTGTTTCCCACATCCCCCATTTTCAGTGATTGCCCAAAGAGTAAGCTAAGCCTCCTAAGAAAAGGGCGGAGCTCCCAGTTCTTAATTGATCCATGGCTTGATCAGAAGGAATCAGGAAGTAAAGTAGCCTGAATGTAGTGGATATGTTCTTGTTGTTGTTGTTGTTAGTCACGAAGTCATATCCGACCCATCGTGACCCCATGGACAACATTCCTCCAGGCCTTCCTGTCCTCCACCATCCCTCGCAGCCCACTTACGCTCACACCAACTGCTTCAGTGACTCCATCTAGCCACCTCATCCTCTGCCGTCCCCTTCTTCTTTTGCCATCTATTGTTCCCAGCATTAGGCTCTTCTCCAGGGAGTCCTTCCTTCCCATTAGGTGGCCAAAGTATTTGAGTTCCATCTTCAGTATCTGGCCTTCTAAAGAGCAGTCAGAGTTGATCTCCTCTAGGACTGACTGGTTCGATCTCCTTGCGGTCCAAGGGACTCACAGGAATCTCCTCCAGCATCACAATTCAAAGGCCTCAATTCTTCGGTGCTCAGCCTTCCTTATGGTCTAACTTTCACAGCCATACATTGCAACTGGGAAAAACATAGCCTTGACTATATGAACATTTGTCGGCAGGGTGATGTCTCTGCTTTTTAGTATGCTATCTAGATTTGCCATAGCTTTCCTCCCCAGGAGCAAGTGCCTTTTAATTTACTGGCTGCAGTCTTCATCTGTGGTGATCTTGGAGCCCAGGAAAATAAAATCTGTCACTACCTCCATTTCTTCCCCATCTATTTGCCAGGAAGTGAGAGGACCGGATGCCATGATCTTAGTTTGCTTAATGTTGAGATTCAAGCCAACTTTTGCCCTCTCCTCCTTCACCCGCATCAAGAGGCTCTTTAGTTCCTCTTCACTTTCTGCCATTAGAGTGGTATCATCTGCATATCTGAGGTCGTTGATATTTCTCCCAGCAACCTTAATTCCAACTGGTGATTCATCTAGCCCTGCCTTTCTCATGATGTGCTCTGCATGTAAGTTAAATAAGCAGGGCGACAGTATACAGCCTTGCCGAACTCCTTTCTCAATTTTGAACCATTCAGTAGTTCTGTGTCCAGTTCTCACTGTAGTTTCTTGACCCGCATATAGGTTTCTCAAGAGACAAATAAGATGGTCTGGTACTCCCATCTCTTTAAGAACTTGCCACAATTTGTTGTGATCCACACAATCAAAGGCTTTAGCATAGTCAAGGAAGCAGAAGTAGATGTTTTTCTGGAACTCCCAGCATTCTCCATGATCCTGCATATGCTGGCAATTTGATCTCTACTTGCTCCCCCTTTTCAAAATCCTGCCTGTACTTCTGGTAGTTCTCGGTCCATATACTGCTGGAGCCTAGCATGTAGGATTTTGAGCATAACTTTGCTAGCATGTGAAATGAGTGCAATGGTGTGGTAGTTTGACCATTCTTTGGTATTTCCCTTCTTTGGGATAGGAATGTAAACTGACTTTTCCAAGCCTGTGGCCACTGTTGAGTTTTCCAAATTTGCTGGCATATTGAGTGTGGCACTTTTACTGCATTGTCTTTTAGGAATTTGAATAGCTCAGCTGGAATACTGTCGCCTCCACTAGCTTTGTTGTTGCTCAGACTTCCTAAGGCCCAGTTGACTTCACATTCGTTAAGTTCTTTCTTGTATAGTTCTTCTGTGTAATCTTGCCACCTCTTCTTAATCTCTTCTGCCTCTGTTAGGTCCCTGCCATTTTGGTCCTTTATCATGCCCATCTTTGCATGAAATGTTCCCTTCACATCTCCAATTTTCTTGAAGAGATCTCTGGTCCTCCCTATTCTATTGTTTTCTTCTATTTCTTTGCACTGTTCATTTAAGAAGGCATTCTTATCTCTTCTAGCTATTCTCTGGAATTCTGTATTCAATTGGGTGCATCTTTCTCTTTCTCCCTTGCCTTTCGCTTCCCTTCTTTCCTCAGCTATTTGTAAAGCTTCCTCAGACAGCCATTTTGCTTTCTTGCATTTCTTTTTCTTTGGGATGGCTTTAGTTGCTACCTCTTGTGCACTGTTGCAAACTTTCGTCCATAGTTCTTCAGGCACTCTATCAGATCTAATTCCTTAAATCTATTTGTCACCTCTACTGTATATTCATCAGGGATATGATTTAGGTCATACCTGATGACCTAAATTTTGTAACCAGAAGCTCATGATCTGAGCCACAGTCAGCTCCTGGTCTAGTTTTTACTGACTGTATAGAGCTTCTCCATCTTTGGCTGCAGAGCACAAAGTCAGTCTGATTTCTGTGTTGACGATCTGGTGATGTCCATGTGTAGATCGTCTCTTGGGTTGTTGGAAAAGAGTGTTTGCTATGACCATCGTATTCTCTTGACAAAATTCTACCAGCCTGTGCCCTTCTTCGTTTTGTACTCCAAAGTCAAACCTGCCTATTATTCCGGTTATCTTTTGGCTTCCTACTTTAGCATTCCAGTTCCCCATGATGATAAGGACATCATTTTTTGGTGTTAATTCTAGAAGGTGTTGTAGGCCTTCATAGAACCGGACAACTTCAGCCTCTTCAGCATCAGTGGCTGGGGCATAGACTTGGACTATTGTGATGTTGAATGGTTTGCCTTGAATTCGAACTGAGATCATTCTGCCATTTTGGAGATTGTATCCCAGTACTGCTTTTCCTACTCTTTTATTGACTATGAAGGCTACTTCATTTCTTCTGAGGGATTCTTGCCCGCAGTAGTATACCTGATGATTATCTAAATTAAATTCACCCATTCCTGTCCATTTTAGTTCACTGATTCCTAAGATGTCGATGTTCAGTCTTGTCATCTCTTGTTTGACCACACCCAGCTTGCCTTAATTCATGGATCTTACATTCCAGGTTCCTATGGAGTATAGATCTTTACAGCAACGGACTCTCCTTTTACCACCAGATACATCTGCAACTGAGTGTCCTTTCGGCTTTGACCCAGTCGCTTCATTCTTTCTGGCGCTACTAGTACTAGCCCTCTGCTCTTCCCCAGTAGCATACTGGACACCTTCCGACCTGAGGGGCTCATCTTCCGGTGTCATATCTTTTTGCCTTTTGGTACTGTCCATGGGGTTTTCATGGCGAAGATACTGGAGTGGGTTGCCATTTCCTTCTCCAGTGGATCACGTTTTGTCAGAGCTCTATGCTATGACTTGTCCGTCTTGGGTGGCCCTGCACAGCATAGCTCATAGCTTCATTGAGCTACACAAGGCCCTTCGCCACAACAAGGCAGTGATCCATGAAGGAGGTAGTCCATATAATGAATGTCAAAACTGGGCGCACCCTATGGTCTGTGCATTCATTCCCCCAAAAGCCCTTGAACTTAGAGGCTTAAGGATACCTATGCCCTGCTGGGCTGCAACCAACCAAAAAAGAGGAGCAGTAGAGATGAGTTTTGGCTTCTCATTTTGCCTTCAAGATTTTAGCTGATCCTAGTGAGTGGGCAGAAAGGAGACCAGAGGAGGCTCCAGATAAATTGTAGCCTGGCCACTTCAATCTCTTTCCTACCACTGCTAACAACCCCTTTGCCTCTTCTCCAAGTTTTCAGGCAGGCAGGCAGCAGTGTGTGTGTGCGTTCGTGAGTGCATGCGTGCGCGTGATGGGGGAAGAATCTCCGACTCCCCTTTTGATGCCAGCTCACAGTCTCCATCCTCAGGAGGGGAGCATGGAGCCATCCTATAATTTTACATAGTGCTGCTGCCAAAAATGGAACCCTGTATGAGTTGTTTCTTTGAGTGCTTTCCCAAAATTTCCACAGGATTGGCTACCACTAGTGGGATAATACACAGAACAATCACTTCAGGACTTAAGATACATTTTACTAGATATTAGAGAAGGAGAAGGGGATGTGTAACTTTTTCTGTGACAGCCTTGTGTTTTCATATTAGCTGGAGAGGTTCAGTAATGTGAATGTTAACAGATTCTTCTAACTTACTATTCCAAAGCAACATTTACAGTGTTTGCCAATAGCCCTATGTTTAGTCAAGACATGTTTTTATTTGTTTTATTATATGCATGATAAAATATGAACAAATACATAAAGAAGACATGACTATGGAAAGTTATCCTATCTGGGAAAAAAACTATCATGTATTGTGTTTTGTTTTGTTTTTTTATTTCAACTTTGGTGAAAATTAACTTCAAAGTTTTCCACACTGATGTTAAAATCTTATTGACATCTATAGTAATGAGAGAACCCTGCTCTTTAAATGATAGTTCAAACATGGCAAGGCAGAGTAACAGTACTTCCCTTATCCTCCAGCTTTATCTTTTTTTTATTTTTAGAAGCTGGCTTTTTATATTGCTCTAATCTCCAATGAGTAATGCATTTGTATTAGAAGGGCATTTATAAATGTGGGAACTTATTCATGAAAATGGGTATCATATCATTTGGAAATGCCCTCTTCCTCCTACCTCTGTGCCTATTTGATTCTGAGCTGCTTCTCTCTCTCTCTCTCTCTCTCTCTCTCTCTCTCTCTCTCTCTCTCTCTGGACTTGGTGTGCTGCTCTGTTCTGAGATGATAATCTAAGCTGGAAAAGGAAATCTAAAGGAGGGATCAAGTTAGTGAAAAGTCGTCACTTTCCAGCCATGTTGCTTGGAATTTCTGATCCTGTGTTGGGTCAATCCTTGAATAAATTATCAATTGAATAAATAAGTTTTTTCATGGTGGCCTCTACTTTAATCTGCCTTCTGCTTCTTTTGAAATGACATCTCCAAAGGATTTTAATTTTAATGTATTGTAATGTAATGTATTTTCTATCTTTACCTCTCAGGTATTGCACAGAAATGGCTGTATGGATTTGGACACTCAGCATACTGAGCTACTCTTGTGTTACCTGTGCATTAAGATCTAAAAAAGCAGATTCATTTGTTACTAAGACAGAACTGAGCCATTTGGTGGTGAACTATGATACAGAGACAGTTTATTTAGGAGCAGTAAATACCCTGTATCAACTTGAAAAAAACTTGAAACTCCGTCAGCCAATGGATGAAGTATCAACTGGGCCACATTTGGATAACAAAAGGTGCACTCCTCCCATTGACGAAAGCCAGTGCACAGAAGCAAAAATGACTGACAATTACAACAAGATACTCCTGCTGGACACACAGGAGAAGAAAATTATAGTTTGTGGGAGCCTGTTTAGAGGAATCTGTTCCATAAGAGAACTGGAGAACATTTCAAACAGAACTTACTATGAGAATGGCAGTGGAGAAAAGTCATTTGTTGCAAGTAATGATGAGAATGTAACCACAGTGGCCCTAATAACCTCTTTGTCAAAAGGTCGAATGATGTTTGTGGGAAAGGGCAATGGGCCCAATGACAATGGGATAATAATCAGCACTCGGCAGCTTTTTAATAAAGATGGGAGAGAGATTTTTGAACTCTATGCAGATCCGACTGCTATTAAATCAACATATCCTTCTGCCAGCTTTCAACAGTTTCTGTACATCTTTGAAGACAACAAATTTGTATATTTTATTTTTAATCAGAATGAGAAGATATTCACTGTAAACCGGACACTAATTGGGCGACTCTGCAAAGAAGATGAACATTATCATTCCTACTTTGAAATGGACTTGGAATGTAAAGATGAGACTGGCCCTTACAACCAAAGTAATGCAGTCTATGTTGCTGTACCTGGACAGAAACCAAAAGATAATGTAACCTCATCAGGACAAGAGCAGAACAAAATGATTGTTGGACTTTTCAGGAGAATGGAAAAAGACTCCTTGGAATGTGCCATATGTGTGTTTTCCTTACAGGAGATCAATGAAAAGATTGAAGAAAACAGGGACAAATGCTACATGAAGGATGGAAGTAATGTATTTTATAAACCATTTAGAACTGAAGGTCCTCCATGTGCTACTGCATCTCCACTGGTAAAAATGAAAACTTCATTTTAAAATGCTACAGAAAGAGTGAACAATAACCAAATGCTTTGTAGACCAACTTCCAGTCCGGTTTTGTGTTAGCTAAGCAGAAGTCACAAGTGCTTTTTGGGGGGCAGAGGGAGGGGAGGGGAGAAATGTTTCTGCATGTTTAAAATCCCTATCTCCCTGTCTCTGGCAATATTGATTCATAGTTCAGATTAATTCAGTTTAATCTTTCAACTCACAAAATGTTTCAATTTAGCATTCAGAAATAAAATATAAATTTATCCACTGGGGTATTTCAGATGAGCCCAATCCAACTGAAAGGAACAACTGCTTAAATGTTTCCTATTAAAAATAATTTAAATTTTAAAACAATTTGAATTTCACTTTGACTGGATTGCATCCATTAAAAAAAACAACTGTAATTCATAGTGGAAACAAGCATTGGGATTTTGTATGCCAGGCCCTCTGAACAGGTAGAGATTTCAATAAAGGGAATAAAGATTTGGAAGAGTAGAATTGTTCCTAATCCCTTTGAAAAACAGAAAAACCTTTTGGGGAGGGTGACACTTACCTTTTCTCATCCCTAGGAGGATTAATGTTGCATGTAGTGTAAATTGTAAGGGTAATTATGACAATTTGTGGTGATTTTTATACACAAATATCTTGGATCTCAAATAAAGCCAACTGCATAGATTTTTTAAAACTATAAATAAAAATAAAACTGCTTAATACCCAGTTATTTGCATTCCTGAATCCTACAGCTAGTTACCAAGTGTTCCTTGCACCTAAGCATGCCCTCACTCAGAATTGATACATAGACACCATGATGTTAATAATTTGTAGTTACTCTTTTACACCTAAAACAAATGTCAAATATCTTATGATTTGCAATTACAAGCAAATAAAAAACTTGTGCTAGAATTTTTAAAAATCTTAAAAGTGTTTTAATGAGCAATAAATTTTAAAGCTCTTTATTCACAGTGCTCCCATGCAAACCAACCACTTTAGTATTGATAAAAACTGTCATCAAAATGAAATACCTGCGGGTGAATTTGCAGCTACTCTTCCAGTATTCACCTTTTACAGAAGTACAGAGCTTCAAACAACACTCAGCCAACCATTTAAATTAGTATTAAATTTTCACCTTCAAATAAGCATTTTCTTCAGAGAATGTTTAGCGAACAGTACTCCTCCTTCCCTGCCTCCCCCTTTCTCTCACACACACCAATGGATCTCAGTTTCAGTGTATCAGTTTTGTGCAGTTGGAATGGCTTTTCTGCTGCCATGTTCAGCAGTTATGTCTTCCAATAAGATCACATGGATCTGCAGACATAGTCAGATATACAAGATAGTGTAAGCATGCAAGATAGTGCTTAGAGTACATATCCTCAAGGAAAAATGCGTAGTTCTCATGTTTTCCACACTCCTGTGGCACCCTGGCTGCTGTCACTGATGCAAGCAAGTTTTTTTGGACAGAAAACAAGCATGTGTGACAGTGTGTCAGCAGCAATATCACGGCGTAAGGACTCCTGAAAAGCAGACAAGTCACTTCTTAAGAGTGCCACACAATGGACACAGCTATCTTAGGTGACAGTGTGCCTCTATTTCTGATTGGGATGTATAGACCAATATGATTGTAAGTGTAACCATGGTGTATGCTTTGCAGGGAACAACTTGAATATTCTGCAAAGGTCCCTCAAAACAGTCAATGCATTGTGAGAAATTGTGAAAAATTCAGCTTAATCCTAATTTCATTGTCTATTTCTGTTTCTTGCATCGTGTCTTAGAATTCAAGTAAAACTTTCCCATGTGGTTCTGAACATTTACCATATCCTCTGGGAAGCAAGGAAGGAATTTCCGCAAAACCAATACTGAAAAGGGAAGGTATAAATTTAACTGCAGTTACCTTTACAGTGGAGAATGAGAAGACAGTATTATTTGTTGGAACATCAGATGGCAGAATCCTGAAGGTAACTTATTTAAATGTTTTAATATTAAAATTATGTGTCGGGGAGCTTGTTTTTAGAATAGAAATAGTTATGGTCAAGAATCAGCTACAGATATAAGTTTATCAAAGAGGTCATTTGACTTTGAGCCAAAAAGCTTTTCAAACAAGGAAATCTTGTAGGATTTTTTTTAAATTTTGTTTAAATATATTGTGCCAATGACATTTTAAGCAAAATATCAAGAGTAAGCATAAAATCATAAGTGCCTAATGATTATAAAATCACAATTTGTGGACAGTTGTAATTTTTCCTTTAGTACAAAATCGATAGAACCTCGACTTCCAACAATAACTTTCTCAAAGACTCGAATGTTTTACTTGTGTGTGTCATTTAAATTCAAATTGAACATAAGTCCATTAGCTTGGCAGAAACCCAGCATGCTTCCAATTTATCACCGTTTGTATTTAGCATACTTAGGGCAGCTAAGGTCTTCATTTATTCAAAGTATAAATAATTCTAACCTTTACAGCATACAAAAATTCTTCTTCATGTTGAGATAGCTTTCTTCTCCCTTTTTTACAAAAACTTGCCAAAAAGTTATGCAGACATAACTTTTTCTCCCCCAAAGAAATGATTTGGAGATTGAAACAGTGATTATGGTCACAGTGTTTTCATTGATCAACTCTAAGCCACAGGTTCTTGTTTTCTCATTAATTCTTGACAACCATTGTCCATTGGTTATGTCCTATAAGGGCAAACTATATTTTATGAAAATATAGTTTCTCCACAATTGTGAGAAAATGCATTAAATTCTGCTGAAGTCCTCCTTTCATCTCCATGGAAGAAGGAGTAAGGAGAGGGCTTCTCTCTCATCTGAGCCCTTTCAAGCTCATGCTGTGCATGTCATAGTAAATCATAGTTTTGTGTTATATGTGATCCATCACTGAAAGTCTCAAGGCTGATAAAAGGCCTTTTGAAGCTCCTGGGTATCTGTAATCAAGGAATTGGATTTCAGATTAATTATTTTTACAATTTCTACTTTTGACTCTGTTTCTACCATAACACATGAAAGAAAATTACAAAGAGTGCTGGTCAAACAGAAACTGTAAATTTGGGATAAAAATGGTAAGATTTTGAGCAGCGAATAACCACTGAAAGAAGAGAACTTCTTTCTTGTATTAAAAAAAATACTTCTTAACTCAATTTCACAAATCAGATACAACAATCCTGATATACCTAGGCAGCAACTAGAAGGCCATAAGACTTTTCAGGGACCCAGTTCCAAGGGTGCAAAAGAGTTCCGACATTAGCGCTCTCTCTAACCAGCATACAAAGAACAGCATCAGCTGCATCCCCAAGTCATAAAGCAAACCTTGGAGAATGGGTGAAGAGGGCATTCTGGGAGTCAAAGCAAGAAGGAAACTGAATCCAGCAGGATACAACAATTTCCAACCCAGCATGCCTCAGCCAAATGACTGTCTAGCTTTAGGGGTCCTCAAACTTTTTCAACAGGGGGCCAATTGAAAGGTGCTGGTGGTGGGTGCAGACCTGCGAGGGGGTGGGGGCAGGGGAAGGAGAGGGGAGGAGAGGCCAGTTGGGGGTAGGCAGGTGCAATGAGGCAGTGGAGCGTGCATGACGCACCCTCCGAGTGAGTCCAAAACGATCTCTACACGAGCAAGTCGCCGCCTCCCCACAGGTGCAGCAAGGCAGTGGCAGGCGCGCAGGGGGCGAGGCGGGCGGCAGGCGCATGTGCGGTGAGTCCAAAAGCTCAGGCAGGCCGGATAAATGGGCATGGTGGGCTGTATCTGGCCCACGGGCCATAGTTTGAGGACTCATGGTCTAGCTGATAAACAGAATGGAAGCACCACACTTAGATAAGTAACACAGTTGATTTGTATTTCAGGTGGCTTTATCTGATCATGCAAGGGAGTATGATAGCATTGTTGTTGAAAGACACAAGCCTATCAAGAGGGATCTTGTCCTCGATCGGGACCATGACAACTTGTATGCGATGACCGCAAACGAGGTACAAAATGTTTGGTAATACTAATGAAGTGGTGACTATTGTGTTAGATGTGAACTTAAGTTTCTTAGGCCAGGATAATTTAATGAGAAAATACTCTGATGCTAACTGAAAATTACAGATTTTGCTGTATCAAAGGTAAGAAGTTAAGCAGTCTACATAGTTGAAGCTAGGTCGAGCCTGCTTTGTGTTGTAAGATGCTCAAGACAGACAGATATCTCAAGAGAAGTAAGATAGAAAAGTGGATTCTTGTGGTAGAACAGAAAGTCAAGAATTCTGGGGGAAATGGACATCCCCAATATCTTCACAGGGGCAAAAATACAGCCTTGATAAAAAGCATCTCTATTTTTTTTAAAATGTGCATAGAACAAAATAGCAACTTTCCTAATGTAGATGAGAAATACAGTTAGGCGTTCTCATCCCCATTCTGCTCCCACAAATGAAATTAGCAGATTTGCTCATTGGCATTAATTAAAAATAGAATCCAACTCGACCTCCAGAAGAACATCAGTTGTAGATCTTCCAGTGTAATATTTGGTTTGGCCTTAGTTGAAGTCCAATGTCCTAACAACTGGCCACAGTACCTGCAACCAATAATTGTGGTGAAATGCACAATTGCTTGGCTGAAGATAGCAGGTGCCTTTTTGCCTTTTGGTGGGGGTCCTTTTTCTAGCCTGAGGCCAAATTGGCTCCAGGAAAGCATAACAGAGTGCTACATGTCAGCAATAGGTGGGCCGTATCCACATTAATGTAATGCTTAAGCAGATGTAATCACTTTCCAACTTAATATCATTTCTTGAAAATAAAAGAGAGCACAGTAATCATTCCTATTGACTTTGTGGCTCAAGTTCCTTCCCTGCTTTTCTTCCTTTTCAAATCCAGATATCATTAAGAATTATCAATGGGAACTTTTTTTAATGAAATTGGCATGATTGGTATAATCTAAACTGGAAGCGTTTTCATTGAGAGATTCTTTAATCAGTAAATTTAAATATAGTTCACAGAGAGTGGTGCATTTTATAATGACTTGGTTGTGAGTGCCAAGGTTATGAAATGAGTGCTTTTGTCAAATGCCTAAGAACTATCTCTATGATATTAAATTGGTTGGAAAGGGATATTACAGGAACTTAATGCCAATACTTACAAAATAAGGCATTCCAATGCTAAACACATTCACCTGGAAATCAATCCTATCAGACTACAAGGTGATGCTGTTTAGGATTACAGACCACATCTTGCATAAACAATTCTATCTGAATTTCAACATGATTTTAATATGAGACAGTTAAGGGTTTTAGTATATAATTGATATGAAGTAAATCCATATAATATTGTGGATATTCACTTTTAGTATTTCTATGGTTTTAGATAAACTGACTGATACTGTTAGAAATACTGTTTGAAGAATATGCAAATATGATATCAAAGTAAATATTAAGCCTATACTAATAGCACTGAGATGTAAAAACATTCCAGTGTTCAAAGTTATATCTGTGAAAATGTTACGCCTGCAGGATCTAATCTATTTATTTATTTATAAAATGTATAGCTAGCCATTTATCACAAAATGAACCCAGCATGAGTCACAATATGCCGCATACAAGTATAAAATCCAATAAAAATGCACAGCAACCAGTCAAAATCAAACATTTCAAGTACACCATTATCCACTAACTCATTTTGATACATCATCTAATCAAAACAGAGGTACTTTTAGCTAGTACCAAGAACTGGCCAATGTTGGGACATAGTTTTGAAGAAGCATATTTTTTTCATGCAGTTTCTATATTGAATTACTTCTAATAGAACTTTCTATATAATTTTGCCAAAGAATGCATAATCTACACAGATCCAGAAGCTATATGGTCCTTTCCATCAACCACAATGCACAGTGACTGTCCCAAATTCCTTCATTGTACAAAGAATATTTCAGTCAAAGATTAGGCCATAACAATGCTGTAAATGAACCACATATGTGAGACACATAATTTTATCTCCTGATTGTTATGTTTTTAGTTCAAAGTATGCAGGTTCCTGTAAGTCTTCCCAGCAAGGCAAATTACAGCTTTTGGGTAGGTTTTTTTTTATCAGGCAAACAGTATGAGGAATTGTTAATGCTCACTCCCTCCATGCTTTCCTGTGAAAATGGAAAGCAAAGACCATGTGCAGCTGCATGTAATTAAAACTGTCAGCACTGGGAGAGTTGATCACTGATCCTCATGCACTTCATGTGCTTTGTTCAGAAAATACACAACCTCATGCATCTCTCAAGTGAGTATGATACAACCCAAACTATACATTGCACCTAGGTCGGGCATGCACAGGACACCCAACACATGACCTGCATCTGTCTGTCTTAGCATCGTATACCACTGGTTGCAGAGTATGAGCTGGACCTGCTTGAGGAGGAATACTGGCTTTGTTGCTGTTTGGGCTGAACTATTCAAGGAGAATGAGGGACAAATTGCAGATTGCATCCTATCAGTTTTAGGGGTAATGGGTGGTATCCAAACCCACTCAGACATCATTGGGCCCCACCACTGCACAGTGGGGAGCTAGCAGTTCTAAAGACATCCTGAAACAAACAGATGTACTAATTTCCCAAACAGGGCAGGTGAGCTGAATTTGCACAAGGAAGCTCTACTGCCCCATCTTGATCCAGAAACAAACGTATTGGATTGTTTTCAGGATTAATTTTAGAACCAGCAGCTCCCTGTTGCATGAGTGGTGTGTCCTTCTGGTTCAACAGATGAAACAGAAGCACAGTGGATGCTACCTATTATCTGTAAGTGACCAAAATTGTTTTGCCTTATTAAGAAACTTAAAATTTTACTTACTTATCTTACTTTTTCTTAATAGGTATTTCGCTTTCCTGTCCAGGAGTGTGCTAGTTCCTCAACCTGTGAAGCATGTATTCAGTCCCGGGATCCTTACTGTGGCTGGTGTGTAATAGAAGGAAAGTAAGTGCAGCTAGGAGGGGTATATGATATTATGCAAGTTCATTATTTCCACAGTTATCACGAGTGCTGAATAATTTCTTCAAAGGATTTGTATTGGAACTGGAAAAATTCTTCATCACAAATTGCCACAGTGTAAACATATAATGAGCAGCAGGGTGGAAACTAATTTGCATATTTTATCTGTATAGCTTGTATATAATTTGCATGATAATGGTGGTTGCCAAGCCACAGCTGGTGAACATCTAACATTTATCTGGTAATAGTCTTATTCTAGCATTTTAACTCTAAACATTCCTTAATACCGTTCTGAGATGTTATACATAAAGGGCGGCATATAAAAGTTTTAAATTAATAAATACAGTCCAGTTTCAAAAGGGTGCTTCTTCATACACTGAATTTTGGCTCCTTTTTTGTACCTTTCTCTTCTTGTGGTGGATGAGCACAGTTTTTGTTTGTCACTGAGATGCACAGTGGAATTTTATATTCTTCAGGATACTGTCACAGAGAGTTCTGTTTGTACCAAATAAAATTCCCATGAATGTGGTGGGTGCCCTTTATTGCTAGCTGCATCTTCTGTTCAATTGCATTGATCAACACTTCCCAGAAAGCTTTCCTTGGCACTTACGTAGTCATTTTTCAGTGCCATGTCTTTGTATTTTCTGTTGTTTCAGGCATTTTTATTTCCTCAGTTTTTATTATTTTAATATTGTTGATTATATTTTTAGATCTTTACTTTGCAGCTACTTTTTACTTTTGCTTTTTTACTGCTTAACTCACATCTTTTCAGAAAGCTGAAGAATATAGAAAACTGCCATCTAGGAGGAGATTCTAGAGATTGGACCTTCTCTACACAAAACTGGTGCAGTATCACTGAACCAGAAGATTCTAACAGAACAGCTCACCACAACCATAAAATTGTAGTTGGGATAGACATGAAAATTAAGCTGGTCTGAAATATTTTTTTAATAATTAGGGTATTATTTAACTCATCCTCTAGCACAAATTATGGTGCACTAATATAAACCAAATCATGTGTAAGAAGAATCTCCAACAAAAGTTACCTTTGCATGAGCATGGTTGTGCAACCAGTTGTGCATGACATTTGCATAACCCTTTCACAAATTATAGTGCAATCCCTTGCACATTACACTTGTGCAACCCACTGTGCACCACGGTTGAACAAACCACGTCACAGCCTGTTGTGAAACCACTTGCTTGCTATCTTCATGCAGGCTGTTGTATATTACTCTCGTGAAACATGTTGTAAAGCAATTTGCGTATTATGCCTGTTAGCCCATTATGCACTATATTTACACATGAAAATATCAATTTCTCAGCAAAAAGAATCAGCAGCGCTTCACTAGCACTATTTGAGTTTGCAGAATGACATCTCTGGATATTAACTATAGAAATGTTTACACCTGAAAAAAATGTGTAAAGCAGATTTCATTTCAAAATTGCAAAAGTATGTGGAGACGTTTAGAAAAAATAGAAAACATCTCTCCTTCCCATTTTAATCCATTTTCCTTTGAGTGTACATAGATTTCCCATCTGTGACTTTCTTTTTTTGATTATCGCTGCTCATATTTGCTTATTTTGAGCTGGGTGACTTTCTGTAGTTCCCAGAAGTTTTACGTCCGTGACACCTGGATGAACCTGCAAGCTTTTACAAGGCATTTTGAAAATGCTGCTGCCACCTGTGGCTTTCCAGATTTTTTTTTTAGGCTGAAGTTGATGCTGTTCTGAAGGCCCCAACCTCACCTGAGCCTATTACTAACATACCGGCATAACAGTTGCCACTTGACTGGCTATCCCTCTTGGTAACTAAATTATACTTCAGAGGTAAGCTTAAAATCTGCTGAAGCAAACCTTTTTAATGTCTTTGGGTTTACTTTTTAATAAGCTAGAGAAGGAGGTGTGGGTCTAAGTCAGACAACTCTGCTTCAGACTTCCAGGTTAATTAACCCTATGGCAGAACCATATGGGTTTTTCTGATATGCAGCCCGTGCACCCAAGGTATACTTAATTACGGGAAGGAGATGAATTTCAGGGATCTTGCTTCCTCTATAAACGTTTAAACGGCTTCAGTAAAATGACCTACAAGGGTTGATGGGAAGCCTGTGCATACAGGCCTGAAATCAGCAGTATTATGTGCCCTCAAACCATGGGATTTAATTTGGATTGGAAATTAACTACCTACTAACTTGAAGGCATAATCACATATTGGGGGGAAATTAGCTGCTCCCTTAAAGCTGATGATTATGATGATGCTTGACTTCATGAAGCATTTAAGATTTCATAGAAAACTTCCTGCTTTAATCATGTGTTGTCTTTTGATCTCAGAGTGCCGCTTTTTATTTAGACAAACCAGCACCATCCAAGCACGAGACAAAGACTGGAAAAAAGCCTACCAAAAAAGTGTAAGGGGTAATTCCCCTCTGGCCAAACCAAGTAGGATTGCTCAGTGGCAACGGAATGCAGACTGACAGTGATGGGATGGGGCAGATATGCAGTAAGAATGGACTGGAAGATAGCATGGCTGTAACCTAAACAGGAGCAAAAATCAACAAAAGGATGGTCATTTGTGAAATGTGATTGCTCAAACTAGAACCCTATTCCAAGAGAATCTGGGGCATGCTTAATACAAAAACCGTAATATAAAAAGCAGTCTGAAGAGCTGCAAAGCCTAACTAATTCCAGCCCCTGGTTCTATTATGTTAGCCAGATTTTTTGTTTATTCCCTTATAATCTTAGTTCTCTGAATAATGAGAATTTAAAAAAAAAAAATGAAAGCCTGTATCTCCTCCCTCACAGCTGAGAACAGCCCTGAGATCCAATAACAAAGAATTGACCACAGTCTTTAACCATGTAACCCAACTACACAGAAACCTGAAACTCTGAATGGCTGAAGCACATCCTACTCACTGTAAAAAGCAGAGCTGATTTAGTGATGTTAAATGGTGTTAAACCCATGTTAACATGGTGAATTTTATTTAAATCAAGTTGATTTAAATCACTAGTCTGTAAAACTAGATTTAAATAATGGTTTTGCATGCCTGCCTGCCGAACCCTTACCCATAGGGTAGAGGAATTTCATTAAAATATTTTAATGAAATATTTTAGTATTTTTACTACTTCCCCTCCCTTCTCACACTTAGTTTCTTGTACAGATCTATTCCATTCCCAGCAATCCGCTTCTACTCACTGATTTTTTTGATACTTAGCACTTAAGGGGTAAGGGCTTGATTCTGGATGCATGGATTTGCAAATGAACAGTGGGGTTCAGGTCTTTCTCAAACCTGTATGTTTATTTTATAACACTTTTGCTGTGAAGATGAGGCATGTGATCTCTGCAGACACAAATTCACAATTTTGAGAACTGTAAAACCAAGAATCTGTGATAATATCTTCTAGATAGAAAAATTTCCCAGTAATCTTACAGAAACCTCTGGAAAAACATGACTTTGTGAATAGATTAAATAGAATTCATTTACCCAAATTTTAAACATTGCATGAATATACAGCCTCATGCCACATAATTCAAAACTGATCCTTGCTCCATGATGAATAAGCTTTGGACTATAATGTATCTTAAATAGAAAACTATCTTTAGATAGATTCTTTTCTCAAAAAGCATTTTATTTTCCAAAATCAGATTTAAATGTTTAAAATCCAATTTAAATTAAAATTCTATTTAAATCCAAAAAATCCAATTTTTATTTTATTTTTTAAATCATTGATTTTTATCCACCCTGAATGTTAATTTATTATCAGTAGCTTTATAAGTTGCACTATATAAAAACTTCTTTAAAATGCCAAAATGTTTGAGTGCTGCAATTTCATTATTTTAATGAGGTTTCACTTTCTCTGATGTACAACTAATCAAATTCTTGGAGTAGTTACAAGGACTTGCCTTTCAGGTTTTGGAGGCTGCACTAGTGCTCCTAGTATGTCAGTCAATTTCTGAAACTTGAGGTCACCTAACAAGCTGTTTAACCATTCAGTAGAATGGATGTGACCAATGGCAGTGAAGCCCATATACGCTGGTGGGTCCCATAAAATGTGGTTTGTGTAGTAGCTGTAGGTATGGCAAAAGGTAAATTTACAAATGTAACGTTTTGCTGCTGCTGTTTTCATTGCTATGCCATCCAATATCCAAAGCTCTCTATATGAAAGTAGTCGTGCTTAACTATCATAAGTAGTATTTGTACCTATGAAAAGAAGTATAGTGGTATAGCATGGACATTCCAGGTAGGAGGTCACAGATTCAATCCCCATCACCTCCAGGTAGAGCTTGGAAAGAGTCCAGCCACTGCCAGTGAAAGTAGGCCAGTCTTTGCCAATCTGGTCTCCTCCAAAAATTTTGGGCCTGAATTCCCCTCATCCCCAGCCAGTCTGTCCAGGAGTCAGGAATGCCAAGAGTTATCCTCCAAAACAACCTGGGATTCATTAGGTTAGGGAATGCTGCTGTAGCCATACTGGTGATTTGTTCCTATCTTTACTAGTTTTACTTATTATATTTTCAATAAAGTGGGCTCTGGTCCAGGACAGTATTTGTCACAATATACCTGTGAAGTCTTTAAGGTGTCAGAAAGCATTCGGGTCTTCAGAAATCAACCCATCCTGTAAAAATGGCTTGACTTCTACAGCAGTTTGCGGCATCATCTGCTCTTATGCAACGCAGAAAATGACTAAACATTTTATGGATGTGCCTTCATGATATGTAAATAAATAAAAATATGAAGGGAAATGTGTGCAGATTTAATTGTGTTTTTTTATTTACATTTTCTGAAAGCTGTTCCATAAAATGTTTAGTCATCCACAGGTCACAATAGTTTCACCTGTGTTCTCCTGACTGTGTTCTCTGCTTGTTGCTACAGCTGCTACTCTATTCAGCAGGATTATTGAGACAATCTGAAAGATGTTCATATTTCAAGAGTTTTCCTTAAGTTCACTTTCCTTTTAGCAATGAGAAATAGCCAATTGCAAAGCCAGGGATGTTTGTTTTCTTGCGTGGTTCAATTATTAGCCCACTGTGCTAAGCCTCAGGCTGAGAGTAAAGACATGATGATAAATTGGTAGTGTTAAAGAATAAACCAAACAATCCAAAATTGATACAATCCATGGGCACAACGTGAGTTTGTAACTGCTAAGCTACTTGTGTGTTACATGCTTCTTGAATAGTGACTGAGGCTTTTCACTCGTGTACAATGAATTGCATGTAAGATAAATATTTATACATTTGTCATTTGAAAATGCACACAATTATTATGTCATAAAGAACAATAAGTAAACTGAAGGAAATAAATGAAATGTTAAGAAAATATTCCTTGCCATTTTCCCTCTACTATTTTATACATACCTGGATGCCACTGCAGGTATAATTGATTGATTAAGGAATGCTGATTTGAAAATCTGAATTACTTTGGATAACTATATGTTTTGCCATTTCTTCCAGATGCACAAGGAAAAAAGACTGTACACGATCAGCAAGAGCCCATAACTGGCTATCTAGTCTAGATGGCATTTGCTTGAACATTACAAGTGCCCATCCTCAAAATATGAGCCGGAGAGCCCCAGAAGAGGTAAATTAATCAGAACAACTATGTACATCATAAAGACGTAAAGCCTGTTTGAAAGCATTATTATGGCAGGAGGGATATCCAATCATTTTATAATATCCTAAAGCAATTTCCAGGGGTCAGCGGCTCACATAGTTCCCCTCTCCAGTGTGAATCAGCAACTGAGTCCTCTGTCATTGTGCACCACCAAGATATCTTACAGTACTGGTTTCATCTGTTGCTTTCTCATATGAGAATAATAACTTGCTTCCTCACAGCATCTCAATATTGTTTTTCAAAAAGCCTGCTTGGCATTTACTCAGGAAGCAGGTCTTTTAAATGGCTAGCATACAGAGTGGCCATCTTAGCTTGGAGACTTCTGGCACAGCATTATCTTTAGTGGGGTATTTTTGGCACTTAATGAGAAATACTTTCTTTTACTTCCTCTTCAGTAAATTCATCTTTAGGATGGTGAAAGGAACCTTCACAGTTGCACAGACTGCTTTTTAGTATTTGGTTCTGAAAGCCTTGAAAATTATTTTGGAATGAAAGTGTTGTGAATGCATAGGTAGGGCAACCAGTCATCCTGTTCTGTCCTTAAACTCACACCTGCAATGCAAGCAATTTGTTAGACTGTTTTCCCCCTATATCCAGAGCTCACAATGGTTAACAGTTTAATACAGGTAATGTCCTTTCATATCAGTTAAATAGTATGCATGTGTGTGAACTGACAGGACAAGTCTAGTATAGTATTTTCCATAATAAGGAAAATCTGAGGGAGGAAAAGCACAGCCAAGAAAATTATTATCCTAACATGAATTATTGTGCTAATAATAATTATTATTATTCATGTTAGGACAATAAAATGCACACTGCACTTTTTCATCGTAATATACACTTTCTGTATACAGCTAGGCTAACCTTATAATACGGTTCATTTTCTCACCACAGGAATGTTATAGTTCCTAAGGGCAGAACTGTTTCAATTGGGAAAATAGGCCATACAATTACTAAAGACACACAATAGTCGAAGGCTATTTTGGAGAAATAGCAGAATGAGGAATAATTGCACAAAAGAGAACAGTGGGAGAACTGTTTATCTTCTTGAGCATCTACTCAATACATGCAACTTTTTAACCCATCCCATTCTCTCACCTTCTTTCTGCCTCCTTGTTTCCTTATAACACAAAAATAATCAAATACTTGAATGCTTAGTTGGTGTTTTTCCCCGAGGCTCATGAAACTACCAGACATCACTCTCTTTGTCAGGAAGCTTCTCATTTCTGTTCCCTGGCAGCCAAAGCATTGCTTCATCTCTTCTGTACTGAATGGGTGTTTTGGGAAAAGTTTCTCTTTGTTGTCCCTTCAAAACAAGCATCTTGATTCTTCCCAGACTGACTTGTGGCTCCTGCTGTGTCCTCTGGCTATTGTTGTTGTGTGGTTAACGTTCTTTAATTATGCTGGAAAAGTTTAAACAACTCCTGTGCTCAATAGATGTTGCATTTGTGCTGGAAACAGAACTGCTCAGAAGAGAGGCTGGAAATGAAAGAGAAATGTGGAAACACAGTTAAGGCTGGCTGACTGGCTGGCTGGCTGGCTGGCTGGCTAGCTGGCTGGCTTTCTCTCTCTCTCTTTCTTTCTTTCCAGACCAATTTTAAGGCGATGGAAAATAATATTATCTTTGCCAAGGGTTCATCAATAATTCCATCCAAAGAAGGCAAAAGGAAGATTTTGAGTCATGGATATGAAACATGGATAAGGACCAGAATAGGCATAACTAGAGATGTGTCTTGCTTTCATTTTTACTCTCGAATATGTGCAGGGGAGCTATTCTGTATTTAAACATTTCCTTATCTTCCACACTGAGGTTTTGATCCAAATTCAGATGTGTGCGTATTCTGGAGTAAAAATGAAAAAGAGGCAGCTGATACATACCGATTTAAATGTCTGTTCCTTGAAGAATTGTCTGGTTCTATTTCTGCTCTCCTGGATTCCCCAGACTTTATTCCAGCTGGAATTGGGCAGTTCCTGAGAATTGTCAAGACATACTTTCAGTTTTTATGGAAGTCTCCACCAGTGAAGAATTTGGGGGCAGCTGCTCCAGCTCCCCACAGTGTAAATATGTACATTCTTTCAGTTCACACAGGGAGCTGCTGTTCGAAACAAGTTACAGAGGTAGTTTCAGGCTATGCAGTATATATAATTACTGTCAGGAAGCAAGAATAAATATTTTTCGTATTCTCCCAATCTGACTAACCCAAATGAATCCAATGCAAATGTCACCTTCTATCTGATCTGAAAGTGACTTAGGAATCATTGTTGCTATTCACTTTCAATCAGTTTTGATCAGATTTGTATATGAAGAACCAGGTGTTCTGCTGTGTTCTGGTGGGCAACTCAGTTTTTAAAATGTAAAAACTCCTTCAGTGACCTGGAAGTAGCAAAAAGGAGAAAAGGGTTTTTACAGCTTCATGCCAGCAGGAGCTAGAGTTTGATGAATGTCTCCCACATACTAGTATGCTATGAAGGGTCACTTCCATTAAATGTAACACTTCATGCTGTGCTATCCTTTGACAAGATAGCTGAACGTATGGAGAGTCCATGCACAATGTCAAACCATGAGGAAAAATGCACTCCAGGTGTTGCTGGATGAGAAGACCCTCCATTGGTCATGTTGGCTGGGTCTGATGAGAGCTGCAAACCAGTTGGAGGGTGACTGGCAAGAACTTTCCTAGATGCTTTGGAGAGATCTTGGTCCTTTCTAAACTTCAATAGCTATCAATGAAGAGAGCATTATTATAATGTTAGACATGTCTGTATTTTTTTAACCTGTTCTACATTTGCTGTCATCCCTTGTACCCTTTTGCTCTGCTACTCCATGAGGAAACTGACAGCTTTGTTCATGAGTATTGCTTTCTACCATCCCTCTTTTTCTTGTGTTTCCAGGTCAAATTGACTCTAAGTCCTTTGCCAGATTTAAATGAAGATGACCAGCTTTGGTGTCAATTTGGCGAAAACATCCATCAGGCACAGTTAGAAGGAGAAGCTATTATCTGTTATCCTCCTAACACGATTCCTCCAACAATAGAAGGCCAAGGTAAAGGGACAGCAGTCTCTCACACTGTTCCAAATTTGAAGCAAACTACTTTTAGCAGTTGCTAGGAAAGCACTAGCTTTTCTCCCCAACCCATTTATCTCTTCCTTGGCTTAAGACCTGCACTAGTAAATCTTTATCCTTAGAAACTCTGACAGCAACTTCCCTCTTAGAGCTACTTAATACACTAGTTGGGTTTGCCACACCACACTAAAAGTGAGTAATGACTGAAGGACAAGTATGAACTCCTAACTAGCTATGGAACATTTCAGGGAGCCCTTAATGGTAAAATTAAAATAACAAAGGATGAAAAATATATGAACAGCAGTGCCATTTTCATATTTGAGGCCTGCTTATTCTGTGTTTCATTACAGTTTCCAAGAGTGAATCAGAGTGATTCTTAAGAATAACAGTTGTCTACCAAATTCTAATGGCAAAGACCTTTAGGGAGGGAATATCTATCTGTGCTTCATAATTATTGAATAAGTCACAAACATGTTTGTAATTGGCTGTTATTTATATGCATTTTTCTAGCACATACTTTGTGACTTGATTCTATCTCTTGTAGATGGTTGCATGTCAGAGTCAGTCCTTCCCAGTGGAATGTAACAAATACTTCCAGTCACACCCATTTGTCCTGAGAAGAGGTGACGAATGGAAATAAACTATGCTTTCAATAGGTATCAGTTCTAAAAGATAAATTCTAAATTTTCAAGTGACCCTAGAGGATGAACTTGAGTGAAAAACACCCATGAATGTTCAGCAGAATTTTTTATATAGTGGTCTTAACTCTAAACTGTCACCACTCTTTCAAAAGATGCTAAAGGAAAGCTGAGCTTGAAATTGCTCAATAGCTTGTGAAATAGCTTGTCAAGAGGGGTTTAATGATTTCCATAAGAGAAATAGCTGGGAACCTTCCTGAGGAAACTGTTCCTTAGTCCAGTAATAATCCAGATTAGAAACCTGGATGCAGCAGAAGTATATGAAAAAGATGAGATTTCCCAAGTGCTAGAATTGTTTTATTATTTTGAGTGTATATTGATTATTTCATAAATCCTAATAGCATGGGTTTTATTCATAGCGGTGAATTCATACATGGTAAATGGTATGCACTGTCAATATAAAACTAAGAAAACAATTGCTTGTGTATGGAGAAGTATCCAGCCTTCGTCATCTAATTTTTCATGGTCTTTCTGTCTTGCATTTTTAGAAATAGAATGATTATCCCTTTCAAAGAGACATTTGCCTACTATAATACACTAGTACTTTTAAAGTTCCTAAACATTTCATGCTGTTTCATTTGGAGTGAACAGAAGATTCATGCTATAACCCAACGAATTCAAGATATGCTTCAGTAGGCTGTATTATGATCTAAATGGATATTAACATTGTACCATGCTGTTTAAATTGTAAAGCATCCTGATTCAGATTAATCTCAAACTCTTTTGGTAGATTATGTCTTGGTTCCACTACGTCTGACCTTTGGGAAAAATATATCTTTTGCATCAGACACATATCCTTTTTATGATTGTGGAGAGGCTATAAATCATTTTGAAAATGAACCGTAAGTACCTAGCTGCTTAACTTCATTTTTTGCCCTTCTGTCCCTTTTATTATATGCAATACTATAATAGTTAATGCCTTTGAACTTATGGTCCGGTTTCTCAGGGCAGAGGAAAACTTTCCTATGAAGCACCAAAAAGAGAGATGTAGAAATGGAATAAACACTAAATCTGTACAGCTCATTCTTTTTCTCTTCAGTATGCAGAAGTGTTCCTATTACTTCAGTTACCCCTTCCATAAAGCATATTTTGGGAGAAGCATCCTATTTCATCAACCTTTCCTTGTAGTTGATTTGGTCTTAATTCTGTCTTGGTTTCACTACATCCAACCTGTAGTGGTAATATACTTCAGGTAATAAGTTCTGCCCAGTTTTGCTTTCTCACTTGTTTAGTTGGGAAGACACAAAATTCTGGCTGCAGCTCACTGTATTTCAATAGTCTTTAATCCTGCAGCTCTTCTCAAATTCTTAGTTCAACTTTTTAAGGTGGTGGGAATTCCTTTTGAGACAATTTTGCCAAACGCATTTTTTAGAACCTCGCACCTAGAATGTCTGGCTGTCCATGAGGAAGCGAGCAGTTGTGTTATTATTTTTAATTAAATAGTAAGTAAGCTTTAAGGAAAGAAGAAGAAGAAACAGGTGAGAGGGCAATCTAAAAACAGTTCAAACTTCTGCTTTGTCCATACAGGTGTTATTCCTGTGCAAGCAGTAGGTGGAATTGCCAGTGGAACTGGAAGAAACATATCTGTGAAGATTCTTCCCTAGAAGAAGATGTGATTAAACAAAATATGGTGACTTATTATATAATACACACATATATACACTTTGTATGGTTATTTCTCAAAGCAAAACATATGTTACATTCTGGAAGTTGCTTCAGCTATTTTTATAAATTTTCTTTTGGTCCTTGGACTGGGCGTGAAAATCAATTTTCAAGTTAATATGATTAGGAAACAATTGAGTGTTTTTCAAGAATGAGAGTGATAGTTTGACATACGCATGCCTAATTTGAAAGCTTGTAATCAAATCTGTCACTCCGTCACTCTGTACTAAGCATCAAGTTGAAAAAATACATTATTTCAATTATAAATGAAATGTTTGTTTTCTAGGCAGAAGAATGTCCACACTTTCTAAATCCCAACCCTAAAATAATACCTATGGAAGATTCAACAAAAGTATATTTTGAAGGAAAGAATCTAGATCATTATCAGGTAAATCCCAAGAAGTTCTTGAATAATGTGTACAATCCAAATAATCGTATGGATGTTTTCAGTTCCACTATTTAATAACACCTTTGATTAAATAACATTATTTGGCGGGGTGGGGTATACAAAATCCGATGATGTTCCACTACTGAATCACAACCACTAACAGAACAAATGACATAAGCAGCATAGGCAACACATGGGCTGTTGAAGTTGTAATGACTGCTTGTAAACCTCTTATAGCACACCTAGTACAATGTATCTGCATGATTGGTGGAAAAGGTTGCAGAATGTCTTGTGCAAGCAAAATCAAATTACTGGATTGAGTCCTTGCAGAAGAGTAAAAATACAGTTTCTACTAACTTCACATTATGCAATGACAACACTGGATACAATAGAATGTGTTAAAACGTCAAGCAAGTTACACATAGGAGTTCAGTAACAGCATGTTTACGTAACTGATCATTGTGCTATTACCTTAGTCTTGTTTTCATAAATCTTTTGGTGGCATCTAATGTGGTTACCTGTACTCTGCAAAATTGCAGAATACTGCAGCCATCCAGTGGAAGACAGGAGGAGTACTGGGCAAGTACCGTGAGAGTAGGGGATGAGGCAGCACCAGGATTCTTCATATCCTAGCACAGCCTTGTTCCTCTCCTCCCCATCCTCCTACCCACAGAATGCCTCATCAGTGCCAGGGGTAGAGGCATTTCGTAATATGTTCTAAATGACCAGATGATCTCCTGCATGCATGAGCTTTGACATCAGTGAAGGAGTGCATACATATATCTTTTTCCTGTGTTAATGGCAAAATGGCCATAGTCGGGGAAACTCTGCTGGTGCATTGGAGCTTGAGACTCATTAGAAATTGGCAAATTATTGATGGTTATTAGAAACCACTTTTCTGCTCCATGATGATAACATAAAATGCATACAAAACAACTATTGCAATTAAAATGGCATTCACTTTTCTCTTCTGGATGGTAAATTTAGGCAAGTTCATGCATGTCCAAGCAATATGTGTGACAACTGAGGGCTTAAGGGCCTTCCTCTGTATTCATTCATTCATTTATTTTCTATACTAGCCAACAGCCAAAGCTCTCTGGGTGGTTCACAACAGCCCATAGTGCTAATAGCAGTAGGACTGTTATTGTACCTTAGATAAATTGCATAAAGCATATTATAATATTCAGTATGATATTTCTTATGCTATGGTTGATGTGGGAAACAATTAAGAACCTGAATTCTTGGGAATTCTAGGTTTACTTTTAGAATTTATTGTATTACAGCTAACATTGCAACGAACAAAGAAAAATGTTTGTCTAAAGACTATATCTTTTGTTTAAGTGCCTGCTATATTCATAGGTTTATCCTCTAGCCAAAATTATTTCCTGGAAATTTATTAGCAGCGATAAAACTGTTTATTGCTTTTTCCCCCTTTTCCCTTTGGTAAGCAAAATGTTCTAATGTTGCAAAACAGCTCTCCTCTCTGCTATATGTAATGGAAAGTGAATTATATAAACATCTTATAGATCAGTAGTTCTCAGGTTCTCCTTAGCTGTTCCTGTTGCAGGTGCCACTGTTTTCCCAGGGTTCAGATTGAAGGGCTACTATGACTTTTCCATCAGTAGGTCATCACTTCCTGTTATGGAGAATGGTCTGAAATCACAAGAAACAGTGAGGAGATTGCTTCCTCCATATCCTATGTTCCCCAACAATCCAGAATAGATGCCAAGTGCAGCCCTCATATCATTCGCGGTTCTGCTCTTTGTTAAGCTTGCGGCTTCTTCTGCCATCATGTCCACAGAGTCTGCAGAATTCTGTCATTTTTCTCCACTTCCATTTCTATTCCTCAGCGGAATAGATGTCAAAAATACCGGTTATCCTTATTTGTATCTTACATGCAGTAATCCTGAAACTTCAGGGTACATGCTTACAGCCTAAGCTTAGCATGAAACTTTTTTTAAAATGTGAATACAGATTGTTGTGCAGTGGTCTATCCTTTCCTAGGGTTTCTGATATCAACTCCTTGAGTGCTGTGTGTTTCACACTCAGTGGACAGCTGGTCTTAATGTAAGCCATTCTATGCTTCAGCTGGTATATAGCCATCAATATTTGTGGGATTTTAATTACTATGACTGCAGTAGGGAGAAAATAGATGTGTGAGGGTGAGTGTAATGCAGCTGTGTTAAGCTATAAACAGGATTATATATGCAATCCTGTTTTCTCTGTGCCCACACATACCCTTACAGCGATGCTCTGAGGAATACCAGTAAAACGAATTATTCTTAAATGTGTTCATTATTAAGGATGTTTCATCTGTATCAACAGAAGTAGTGAAAAAACCTTAGTCATGCAGTGCAGTGGAAACTAATGGTCTAAATATTAAAGACCCTCTGCAACGTAATGGCGAAATTGTGATTAAACAGTTTATCTTTTGTGTATCCAGAAGGGCCAAAGAGCACCATCAAGACTTAATGTCTTTTCTGTCGTGATACGCTACCCTGATTCTTCTGAAACTTATGACTCTGATCATCTGCCCAGGAGCTGTCTCAGTTCCTGAATTAGAGTCCTCTTTCATTAAGGGAGCAAGACTTTGGGGGAATATATATATATATATTAGAAAGATAATAACCTATCATATTACAAACCTGTGAGCGGCAACTTAAGACATTCAATGTGGGGAACCTGAATCAGTCCATCCACTACCCAAGGCTGTTTAATCACCCAGGGTGCCCATAGGAGAAGACATAAATTAGTTGAAGGCCACCAGCTTCACTGAGACATCATTACTGAATTGGATGAGCACTTGGTCCACAAATGTTGTTCATTCCACAGCAATTAGATTTCAGTGTTTACTGCTGATTCCAAGGCCACAACCATAGGCACTTATTATAAACAAAATCATTTGTGGTTACAGCAGAACTCTGTGCAGTTGGGCTGTCCTTGTACTATACTGAATTTCCTTGACTATGACAAAGCTGTGTGAGAAAGCCGGACTGACTCCTGAAGTTGATAAATACTTTTAGATTCTTTCTGCTTCAGCTTACATACATCCATTTTTATCATTTTTAACAAAGATTGAATATGTCCTATAGTGTACAGTATTGTGTTGTTGTTTTTATTTTTCACACATGGAAATCAAAATCAGTAACTAGCTTATCAAGTTACCCAACTTTCCATTGGGCAGAAATAACACAGAGTTCAAGTCCCACCCAAATATTAATTGTATTAGGTGATCTTGGTCCAGTTACTGTCGCTCTGCCTAAACTGCTTCACAGAGCCATATTTCCTACTCTGAGCTCCTTGGAAGAAGTGTGGGATATAAATTAATTAAATAAAAATAAATAATAGATTAATGGATCAGCAAATTAATGGATAGAAAAGTCAACCAAAGAATGCTTTAAGATCAAAACAATGCCACGGTTGTGGTCATCAGTATCCCTTAAGAATTGGCAGACAGGATGATGTTCTGGCTTTGGACATTATTAGTATTATCATTATTATTCCATGCCAATACTGTCTCATAGTTTGAAGCCCTCTGATCAGTTTACCAGAGTGCATAAAAACAAAAAAAGAAAATGTTTTATTTATTTAAAATCTATAACTCAGAGTAGCATTAAAACAAATTTAAAACAGCTAGAACATACAGTAAAAATGAACCTGTAAAAAGAAATACTTTCAAGTCCCTAGGTATCTAAGGAAAACTTTAAAGACCTTGGCACAAAGAACAACCTGGCACCAAAAAGATGTCAAGTTTGGTGGCAGGCAGGCCATAGTGGGAAAGTTGTTCCAAAGATAGGGGGCCACCACAGAGAAAGCCCTCCTCCTCCTTGTCTCCCTTTATTATAGTGTCGGAGTAGATCACAGGTTGGTGAGACACTCTGACAGGTATTGCATCCCAACCTGTATAAGGCTTTAAGAGTCCATAATCACCAATATCTGCCAAGAGGAAAGTTCACACGTCTGTGAGCATTTGCAGTTTTTCCCTCATTATTAAAATACATATTGTTCAGGTACCCATAGACTTTCAATTGTTCACCAAACTTTTTTTTACATCTAGTCACTGGAAATGTAGACTCAACCTTTCCTCTGGGTAAAAGTTTCTATAGATGCTTTCACTTTCAGATAATTGACTGTCTGCCCTCTTCTTTAAGACCTCTGGACTAAGAGAGTGTGGTTACTGATAGCAGAACTCTTTCTGCATGAGATGAATAAAAACATAGGATTGGTATATAGCCTAGATGACCTTTAAATTCCCTGCAGTGTTGCTGGAGGATGAAGTCCTGGCAATCATCAGTCTCTTTTGGAAATTTAAATGTTTGAATTTTGTATTGGGTCAACACATGTCTTGCTTCAGAACTTTCCCAGGTCTTTCATAGCCTAAATCTGTATTTGCTTCTTGAATATGCTACCTGTTCCCTAGCTATGTCATATTCAAATGTGTTGTCATCATCACAAATATGTGTTTTTCTTTCCCTCATCAGGTTTGTTCCAAATCTCCTAAGCCGGTTTGTAGGTAGTGAGGAATTGAAAAGAAAATATGGAACCAAAAGGCAGGGGCAGAGGAAAAATGCTAGAACTTTGCTTGCCACCCCTCTGTGTACTTGGCTTTGCCCCACAACTTCTCTAATGAGTAAGGCTATGAGAGGAAAAATAGATAAAGAATCAGCTCTTTCCTCAAAAAGTTTCTTGGGTTAGGACACCTCAGGCCTTTCTGCCACAACCTCTCAGCAAGCTACCTTTTTAATGACTGTCTCAGATTCTGTTCACTGCATGCTCATGAACATCCCTTTCAGTATTGTAACATTGCTGAAATGTAGGAAATTCCTCATTTGGCTGTTCCTAGGTTGGTAGTTTTGGTGGGGAATGCTATTATGCACACATAAAATGCAGATTTTATGACTGAACATTTACTTTCTCCATCTGTTGGATTTTGTAGGGCATTCCTTCGGCAATTTCTGTGCTGTGTTGCTGCTTCATAGTTAAATCTCTACCCCATTTCATATTCGTCTATTCTTTAGGAATTCTGCCCTGTTCATAGAAAGGAGAATTCTGCTGAGTTACAAATCCCATTGTCCATTCTTCGTAATGTTCAGCCTAATCATTTCTTTCCAATTATGTGTGTAAATCAATATAACATCGATTGTATGTGTGCATGTGCAAGTGTGTGTTTAAACCTTATTAAGAGGCTATCATTTTGAGCTAACTGGCAGTACAACAACTTTCTAAATCATTATTTCTGTAACAAAGTACTTCTGTCTATTTATCTTTACAAGTCGCCTGTTAGGCTGAAATTTCATGATTTTTCTAAAATCACACAGTGACCCTTAGGTATAAGGGTCAAGGTACACATTATATTAAATATACATGTAGGAGATCCATCTTTCTGTTTTTACCCACAAGTTTGAGGTAGATTGGAACAATTGTGCAGGGGGGAGGGATTTAAAATCCCACGAATCACACATTTTCTTAAATGTCCCTCTCACTTCTTCTCTCTGCCTCTCCCATGCAGTTTCATTAGAAAAAAACAGTAAATATTGGCTCCATCAGAGACTTCTTTCCTGTTCGTTAGGCCTCATGTTTGTAGACAGGAGGGAATTTTGGAAAACAAGCAGCTGCGTAGGAGAGTTAAGCCTCCACTTTCTGTGATCCAAAGTAGGGGGCACACACTTACTTGTGAGTAAAAAGAAATGGAGGGTTAACTGCATGGAATATTTTTAATGTAACAAGTAGTTTGTCCCTAAATGGGTGAAGGTAGTAAGTAGTACTGGAACCAAGAAAGTCCATAGCCAGACACATTCTATCCATTATGCTACATCTAAATTCTCTTTGTTTTACATAATGCATGATAAAGAGAGGACAGAAAACCAGTACACTGTGGTGGACAGAATGCTGGACTTAGACAAGCAAGACCTGGATTTAAATCCTTCCTTATCATGAAGGTCACTGGGTGAATCACTGTCAACCTAACATACCTCACAGAATTGTGACAATAAAATGGTTTCTTCAGTTTAAAAAACCTTTAAAATAATCTGCTTTATTGCCTTGGTAGTAATTTTCATACCTTGCCCAGAGTTGTGTGTAACCTGACACAAATAGCTGATTGTGCTCCCTCTGAGTGCTTTTTCAGTCCTTCTAGACCTACTGACCTAAATATTTTAAGAATACAATACTCTCCAACAATTCCCAACTTGGTGCATCCAACCATGTTGATCAGAGGAATGGTGAGAATTATAGGATTTCTTCAGTCTAACCTTGCATAGGATGGGTCCATTAACTCTATTAATATTTAGCTGCTGCTTCTGCAATAGAGAGAGGCTCTTAAAACAGGCATTAGCAACATGTGGTCATAGACCTTATCCAGCCTTCCCAAACTTTTACCCTGTGGAGTCTTGCTCCCTGTAAGCTAGTTCTTTTGAAGATCAAAGAAAAGTGTGAATATTTTCTACTCCTGACTTAGATGAAGCATTTCATTAGATAGGAATAAGTTTTTAGAGAAAATGTTCATATTTCTATCTGTTTTTAAGACAAAATGGTTAGGAACAATCTACTTTACAAAGGACAGTCTTCTTTTGGAAGATGTTCTCTATCTAAAGACTATCAGAGGACAGTCCTTTGTTTGCAAATGGCCTCAGCTTGATGGGCCAACAGTCCAAAAATAAAGAGAAAGGGCAGGCACCTTGAAACTGCCCTTCAACAGTAAATAGCAGGGCATCAAACTCAGCAGGCAAATAGATTATGTGGTCACAGTATGTCCAACCTGGTGAGATGTGTTGTATTTCTGTTTAAATTACTTCAAAATTTGCATCTGTACAGCTAAATTAGAATATGCAAATGAAATGCTAATCTGTGCCTTTTTTGTAAGTAGCTCTCCTTTTCATTGTCACAATGTATGTCTATTTCTCTCTGTTTCATCTAGTAAGTTTCAGAACTTGCAGGTATGCTGTATAATAAACAAGTGATTTTCTAATAACATTGTAAGTCCAATATTTATCTTTCACAGGGTAGTCATTTCAGAATTGGAAATAAGCAGTTTGGATTTGAAACTGGTGTGGAACAAGCAGCCGATGGAACCTTCTTCTTTGAAAGCCTAACTGTAAGTAATAAGAATTGTGGGTTTTTTACAATCACTTTCTCTTTTGCTTTCTTAAACAAAGATGGGTCATGTCTGGTGTTAAGACTGAACAGATTCTCCATTATACAGCTCCCAGAAGATTTCGTGTTATGTTAAATCAGGGGAATCTTATTTTTCACCAAGAAGATAATCCTGCCACCTACAGTGACATATTAGTGGCCACATTCAGATGTTGGTGTACAGTATTTTTCCGTGGAGGAAGATGGATAGTAATCTCTAGTAGCTGTTGTCCATAAACTAGTTATGGATGTTCATTTTGATCTTTCAGTGCAGGAAATCTGTCTTCTTTCCTAGGGCATACATTAGGTGTGTGATAGCAGAAATGCGAGAAACTGGAGATAGTTTGACACTGATGACATACCTGAGAGAAATTATGAGCTTAGTGCTGAAGGAATTGTTGACCTTTACTGCAGAATCTTGATAATAATCCGCCATTTCTGTCATTTACTTTTGTGGCAGTCAAGAACATATGTATAGAATATTTGTGGAAATTACACCTTTACACACTTGTAGAGTACAAGCCACATTTATATGTTTTCTTCAGTTCTTTGAATGATACAGTTTTTTAACACACAAGCAAATAGAATGCACTCATATTTTTTTCTAGAAACCTGTATTAGCAAATATATCACCTTTACTCCCTGTGCTTTTGAGGGTGAAGTAATAAGACATTTTGAACATTTTCCAACACATTTATCTGTTTCCTAGTATTTTTGAAGTCTTACAAGAATTCCTGTTGTAACAAGTGCTACAATAGGTATGACTCTGAATGAAGCTCTTAGGTAAAAGCATCCCAGCATTTCTGAAGATGCAGCAGTAATATGCAGGATAAGTAAACTTCATGGTTTGGGAAAAATAGATTGAAGTATCAGAAAATTTCTTACTGTGGTCATTGTTTCTTCCTTTTAACTTTCTTCAGATTGCCAACGTTGAAAATGAAACTCAACCACTTAGTTTATTTATTACAATGGATAAAGGCAAGATTGATAGCAAACTGATTGGTAAGTATGTGCGACATAGGACGTTAAAAATACAATGATTTATTCTTAGTGTTACTTTTTTAAAGTATTCATTGTTTTTGAAGATTATACTATTTTTAAAACAAGTATCAAGAACATTAAGAAATATGTAAAAGAATATTTTTTCCTCTGAGCAATGTATTAGCATGAATTTTTGGTGTTTTGGCCAAACATTTTCTTACCTGCTTGTTTGACTAGGAAAAATGTGATATTTCCAATCATCCATCTTGTAGGGCTTTTTCAAATAAACTCATCTCACTTCTTCCAACTTTTGATGCACAGTGCTGCATTTATGCAAGAGTTGCAGATCTAGAAAGTGCTACTGATGCCTCACTGGAAGAGTTACAGATCTGAAAACTGCCAAAGAGTTTTAATCAAAGCTTTTGTTTTGTAAGCTGCAGCTATATTAATAAAAGATGACCACTTTATTTGTAAATTCAAGAACCACCACTAGATGTAGAGTCAGCCAAGGTTTGTTCTTCTGTGATGGAGCTGCTGCTACTGACTGCTGCTGCTGCTCTGCCTTAAATCAGTTTGCTTGTGGCTGTTTCTGATTATAGTCCCAATCTTTCAAGTATTTTTGTCCAGGCACAAGTCCAGTGTGAACAGTGTGTTTCCTGGCAGGCAGAGCGGACCATCTACAATGAGTAATTATGCTAAACTGAAACCAGGCATGACCTTCCAAATTCTTTTTACTAAGTCCTTAGCTTATTGCTCTGATGCAGTGACACTTAAAACTAATGGATCCATACTGATAAATCTTAGATAGTTGCAAATCAATCTAGAGAACGAGTTGTATTTAATGTATTTATATTTTAAGGGAGGGTGCTCTGTGTGTGTGTGTGTGTGTGTGTGTGTGTGTGTGTGTGTGTGTGTGTGTTTTAAAGAACTTTCCTCTCTTTTTACAATGACTTCTCCACCCAGACAACATACTATGTCTTCTTTTTTGGGAGTGCTATGGTAGAATGTGCCCCATACAAAGCAAATAAAATTCTAGCATGCATTTGGTAGAGAGTTTCTGTCACATTGGCATTATTTTGCATTGTACCTTTTTGGTTAACAATGTCTGTGGAAGATTAATTCATCTTGGAATAAATGTTAAGGAAAAAACATTGTGATATGATTCCTGAACTATATGACAAGACTAGATGCTGGTCCCTTCCAGAAGGGAAGAATGATTCTTTGTTACATTCCCACAGCCCTTTTAAAAGAATCTAATTGATTGAAATGTGTATACATTTCTTTATTTTTCTTTTCTTTTCAAGTCTGTTGGAAGCAGCAGGATATAACTGATTTTAAAAGTCAATATTCCCATTCATAATCTAGTATACAATGCATATAAAAGGAAAGCAGGAAAAATTGAGAAAGATATTTTTTCTGCCAGTGTTATCCAGATTTTCTTGTTTTATTACCAAAAAATCTTACAATTTGCAGGGTCTTAATCCAACTGAATTTAAATGCAATGAAAGTTAGGTTGTTCTATTAGTACATAGAAGATGAACAATTATTGAATTTCCATGTATAAATGAATCCTTTCTTTCTATAACACTTTTAGAGAACACCAAGTAACACTGGCATTTAATGTCTTTTTATAGCCACTGGAGACTCTGAAGAGTGTGAAATCCAATATATCCCTTTTATCCTTTGTCCTGTTTTATCAATGGTTTCACAGCTAGTATCTAAAAATGATGGATAAGGGTTGGAATCTAATGGCTGGCTTACTGCTAGTACATTTAATGAGCTGATCAGTAGTGAAACTTATTAACACTTTGAGCTCTGTCTCTGTATTGTGTGCGGCTGCGAGAGCTTTCAGTACATTACAGATCTAATTTGGAGACCATTCAGATGCTGCCTTTTGCAGAGACAGGAGTCATTCTCATTTCAGCATGCACAGATGAAAAGGATATTTAATCAGACGGTCAGATGTACAGGTCTTCCTGGCAGGCGAGTGAAATTCAGAATCCCAAAATGGAATTCCATCAGCCTGTTTTGTGAGTCAGACCCATGGCATCTCAGTATTCTGTTCGAATGCTAGAATGTGTGAGCACACCTTCTTACGAGAGAATCAAAACACTAAAAAACATGTGTTTCTCCAGCAGGATATTTATGTAAGGAGATAAAGTCTCTGGGATTAGCCATTGCCAAAGCTCTAAATGAATTATACAGAAACCATGCTAACTTGCCTTAGCTTGCAGATGCTGGAGTCCCAGTGGATCACATTCATGTATTTTAGTAGTTATTGGGGATTATGTAGTTATTGGGGATTATGGACTTTCTTCTGGGCTTAGGGAGATGAAGAGGTTTCCTAGAGTACCAGCAGAGGAGAGAAGTTGGGCCTGAAATCTTGGTGAATGTGGAAGGCCTGCTATTCTAGTGTGAGGAAGGAGATTGTGATGCACAATGGAGCTGAAGATTTGAGGATAGGAAAAGAATCTAGGATTTCAGAAAGACATTGATGAGAGCAAGTATAAAGTGTCATTACCCATCTTCCCTGGTTATTAGATTCTGGCAAGAGACAGGGTTCAAGAGGAAAAAAAGGATAAATTATAATTAAAAGGAACAGGTCAGAGAGAACTTGGGCTTCAAATCTCTGTAAGGAATAGAATTATGTATGGCAAATGGAATTATGATAAGGATGAATGGCAGGAAGCTGTGGAGTGAAAGAGAAATCATCTTTTACAATGCCTTATCATACTGTTTGCTGTTGTCTTGATTGTATAATGGAGTTGTAGTCCAGTCCTTCTGCAGGATGGTGGGTACCAAGTTGGGGAAGAAGGGCATAGATTCCAAAATCTGTAAACCTCCTTCTTTGCCAGCTATGGAATGGGAGAAGATAGTGAATAATGGTTTTATACACTTCCCAAAGGCATTGATATGTGAATACAGTTGGCTTACCACTGCATTTTGCCCCTAAAGGCTTGTGTTCAGCACGTTCAGATGTCGTGTTATGTCAACTAAAATCCAAAATCAGCCAGCCAAACAGGATCAGATAGCTCTGGCATCAGTTGTCCCTTTTTTGCCAAGAATTGTCCGATTTCCTCCCTAAGAAAGTAGAAGCGCTGCAGTGCAGATCCCCGACTGAGCCATCTTACTTCATTGTGATACACAACATCTCCGTATTCAGCCTGGATGTCAAGTAGAAACTGTTGAAACTGGCGGTGGCACAGGGCTTTGGAGTGAATATAATTAATAGCCTTCCTCACCGGTTTCATAACATGATCATATTTCAGATGTTTGGCACAGAAAACTTGTTAGTGAATAATACAGTGGAGTTTTATAGCTTTGCCGCCTTCTTCGCTGACTTTGTTACAGACTAGGGTTGATAATCCACTTCGCTCACCAGCCATGGCAGGTAATAATCCCAGTGACTTTATTCCACGGTAGTTTCATGTCATCTACGGTGGAACAAACAGAAACAAATAAATCTGTTCCTCTTGTTTGGTCCTTAAGGCTCTGGAGGTCAAGTAGCTCTTCACTCACGTTGATGTCATTGTCCACTCCCCTCAAAAAAATCAATAACTGAGCGGTTTCAGATGCATCCATGCTTCATCGCAGGCTAACGAAAAAAAGTTAAACTCCACTCCTTTTGCCTCTAACTGTCTCTTAATATCAGATGAAACGTCTTCAATTCTCCGTACCACAGTGTTACGAGCCAGGCAAACATTGGCAAACTCTTGCTTCTTCTCAGGACAAATTTTCTCCACCATTTTCATCATGCAGTCTTTAATAAATTCACCCTCAGTAAAAGTTTGCAGTGCTTGGCAATCAGTGTTGCCACCTCATAGCTTGCCTTTGTGGCATTTTCATTTGACTCACGGGTTCTTGTGAAAAAGCACTGCTGTGCCGTTAAAGCAGCTTCCAGTTCCTTCAATTTTTCGCCGCGTTCATTCCCCGTTAGCCTGTTGTAGTTAGCATGTTTCGTCTGGTAGTGCCTCTTGATATTGAATTCCTTGAAAACAGCCACAGTCTCTTGGCAAATTAGGCAGACACAGTTGTTTCGTATTTCAGTGAAAAAATACTCCAATTTCCACTTGTCTTGGAAGCGGAGGCCCTCGCTGTCAACTTTCCTTTTTTTAGTTACAGTCGCCATTTTAGAAATGGGCACACAAGCCTTGTGTCACAAGGGTCACGCGGCGAGAGTGCTGACTCAGGTCTACTGCCATCTTCTGGTGAAATATAACCACCAGCCTTGAAGGAGCAGGAGGCAGCAGGGGACAGCTGCAGGAACCGCTGTGCTGTGAAGGGAAAAACACCAGCCCGCGGCAATGAGTGACAGGCTGAGCCGGCCGGGAGAAGAGGCTGTGGGCCACTCGAAATTTGAAAACGGGCCGCAATTGGCCCCCGGGCCGGACTTTGGACATGCCTGTTTTAAGGGATTCTGCTTTTGACAATGCCAACTGCAGGCATGGGGAACAGACCTAATCAGGGTCAGAGTGGACGCAAAAGTTTAAATCCTCTGAACCCCCTACAGAAGACTTCCAGACTAGAGCAGACCTTCCATACTTCGTTCTGGATAAGCAAAACAAGAGGCTAGCTACCTCTTTAATAGCAAAGTAAAGTATAGCAGAACCTTCATATGTGAAACAGGGACAGAAAGAGATAAAACTACATTTCTTGGAAAAGGAAGGACATTGTACTGTATGCAAAGCATCCATAATGCCTGTGAATCTGAAACTGTCAGACTAAGAAACTTTCAGAAGATGTTAAAAGGAAAGTATATTTGCTGAATTATCCCTCTATGCTGGAGAACCATTCTGTGAGTCATGAAACGCCTTCTTGAAACAAAATATTGACTGGGGTACAATGATGAAGAAGAAAGACTATTCATAGCATTCTTCAAAACAAACAGCTTATTTAGTTAAATTTTTATTTTAAATGAATTGTAAATGTCTCCATGTTTCAAAAGAGTAGACATAATGTAAGAGGAATGAGGAGGCTTTTCTTTCTAGCTCCATCTAATAACAGGGAAGGAAGAAAACCTCCCCACCCAGTCAGTTGCATGGCTCTTACAAATACCTTCCAAATGAAGTTAGTTAACTCTACTAAAAATGATTTGGAGATTGTGAGGCTGTCCTGTCATTGATTTCCATGACAACTCTCTTTGTTTAACCTGAAGAATTTTCCATTCGCAACCTGCCGGTCATGTAGACTCAACATGTAAACTCAAGTTATTAATGAAGCTGATTTTAACCATTAAGTTATTCACTGATCACCGAAAAAAATGGTTCAAGTCTTATTTGGCTTCGTGTATACAACCATATTACCTTGAATGAATTTGTAACACAGCAGCTGATAGACTGTGCCATACAAGCAGAAAGGAAACAAAATCCAAATTTCTCATTCTCGGTAAAAATAAACCTATTCTTAGCTAGCAAGCTAACACTACTTTGAATAAACACAGTGTGATATGCTGAGTAAGGTGGTACAGGATTAAATAGACTGCTTTCTATGCACAGTGATGCATTGTAAGAATTCTTCAAGCATCATGTGAGCTGTTTGAAAGTGCACTAATTTGGTGGACTTTTTTTTCCTAGTGCTAGACAGTAAGGTTAATGATAGTGTTACCTTGCCAAATAATCAAAAATCTCCCTCCCCTCCACCACACACACATGAATTCAGTTTCTTTTTCACAGAATAGTTACATAGTACTAAAACACTATTTACTAAAGTACTAACTACTTCCAATTAAGATGGCAGTTATCTGCCTTGACCATAAAAGTGTGCAAAAACAATCATAATTGAACACTTATTGCTGGTCTGTTTTCCTAATTAGAGCATTATGGATTTACGCCACATGGCCTTGCTATTCTCTACTGATTTGCTCTGTATCATTTTGTTTCAAGATGTTTTCAAATATCACATACTCAGCTCTAGTTACCTTTATCCCTCAACAAATGCAAAACTGTTATGGGCTTAAGAGGCACTCTGTCTTTCTCGATGATTCATGGTCATGATAACCAGAAGTGGCAGAGCAATCTTTATCAGGAATTGTAGGCTCTGCTGTGCCCACCCCTGCATGGTCTCTGACCTCATCTGTCAACCTCTGGTGCATCCTGCCACACTCCTTGGATTCCCTGGATCTTAGACTTAAAAATAAAGTGTAGAGAAATAGATTGAAACATATTGCTATCTATGTGAATATGTGAGAGAAAGTTCTTGCTTGGTTACACTGCTTGAATTCTGATTTTAGTTTCATAATGTTATAGTGTTAGTAAACTTGTGGCAACTTTAGTGTGGCAATGACCTCTTGGATTAATTTTTCAAAAGTCTCTTGTTCATCAAGCTACATTTATTTAATTTGGAAAAATGTTTGAACTGAATCCACCGTATTTAATTAACAAAAGGGCTTCTATTTAACTTTTTTCTAATCTTCCATGTTGTCAGTTTTAGCTAGAATAAGCTAACTTGAAAGTCATCCTTTTGCTCCTTTCTGTCCTTGTTGCATTGCTTCTTATCTTTGTCATCTCCAGGGTGTCATCTTTTATGCAGGAACCATTATCTTATTTTCCTCCACATTTGAAATACATATTGATAGCATATAAATATTTTATATGGCTTATGTGGGCTTTGACTGGTTTTGGACTGTAGAGCAGTAACTGAGATTGAACTTGTTTACAATGTTTACAGTGACTTTATATAGCTGCTCCTATGGTCGGGCTGATTGCAGTCTGTGTCTTGCTGCTGATCCTCAGTATGAATGTGTCTGGTGTGAAGACAGGGATAGCTGTGTTTACAAAAAACGGTGCTCAGCTTCTACCAGGAACTGCCCTGCTCCAGTCATTACAGAGGTAAGAGAATTCTGCATCATTTCACAGTACCATCTCCAAATGCTACATATGTTGGAGTATTACTTCAAACTGCAGAGTTATGGAACTCTGAGGTATCTTCGCTTAGTTGATCAAGCCCCATAATATAGACCATCTCTGTGTTTTCTTTAAGAACTTACATCAAACTTCCTAACAGACACCCAATGGCCTCCCAAATGTGCAGCTCCAGCTCCCACCATTCCTGACCATTGGCATGTGGCTGTAGTTGTAGGTGAAACCCATCATTATTTAGAGGTCTTTGAGTTCCTCCACCCCAGTACCATATGATAAATGCTAGCAGAGTTCTTGTAGGAAGTAAAAGAGTATATTTCCAAATTCTTAATAGCCATTTCATAAGGATTTCTTCCCTATTATCTTAAAGTGCTGGAACACTTTATCCATATTTCTCCTTGTACCACTAGGTAGTACTGTAGGTTCTTTTCATTGCCTACATAATCCCAGGTACTGGCATGATAGTAGCTATGTTACCAGGGCAACACAAGAAGGAGTATTTCCCATACAACTAACAGACAGGACTTAATTTCCATACAGAGATGCAGCCAATCAGTGCTGGTTCTTTCTTATTCTTCATAACATCTAACACAACGGACTGGTTAAGGTATAGCAATCTTGGCTTAACAAATCCAACGAATATTGCGGCAGAACAGACAAAAGAAACAGAAAGGTGGCAGCTCTGTCCCTCTCAAAACAGCTATTTAAAAAAAAAAAATCTTTTGGCCTCTTGGGTTTGAAAAAGTAGTTTTTCTTGTGATAAAAAGATCCACAGCTCAAGAAACATGTTAGTTCCCTTTCAACATGTCAAACTGCTTAGCTCTTTCCCAGATTTAGAACAGCAAGAACTTCAGTAAGCACAGTTCCTTAAAAGGTTTCTCTGCGTGCTAAGACCCCCCATATGAATAGCAACCCCCCCATAAAATCCTGAAAACTTTACTTTTCAAAAAAGTAGGCATCATGAAACAATCATGAAAGAGTATAAGCCAAATAAAATGCTAAGCAGAAATGTTATATATAATACTCATAACCTGATGAGCGACTGAGTTGCAATAAACTATAATAGGATTCTGTTTTAGTTAGGTATTTGAAATGTTGCCATTTAATATTGATTTTATACTATTTGGAATGGCTTTTAACTTAAAATTCCATAGTAAAAATATGTTCACTGTCAGTTTATAATGAAGGCAATTGACAGTGTTGAACAATATGCAGCCCACATAATGCAAGAGGTCATGGGAAGTGCATGCAAAGCTCTGGGTTGCTGACTCAAGCATCCATCATTGCAGTCCTCAGTTTCTGTCTTCCTACTTCTAGAATGGACCGCTTCTGATGTGTACCATGCAATATGACTCAGAACTCAGGTATTCATGTGCAGAGGCAACAAGTCCTGTCCCACAGACTTCCAAACTACATTATCACTTAGGACAGGAAGGAGTGCAAGCATTTAAGAACCCACATGCAAATCTGTTTGCTGTGCCCTTGATCTGTGCAGTTTTGCTTTCTAGGGATCTGCAAATATCCCAACAAGCATTCCTAGGCATAAACTGCCCCCTGTCTTACCATACCACCTTGACGAATATAATTCTTTCACAATGTTTTGGAACACTTAAATCCTTGAAGAAATGCATGCAACACTGTCTCTTAAACTGCCATGGAAAACTAATTCCTTATAGGATTCTTTGATATAGTCCTACTGCTCAAAACAATTCCCATACAGCTGGTTTAGCCACCCATCCCCACACTGCCTTCCAGTCAACAATCCACTACCGTTCTACAGGTTTCAAAAAGCAATGATTCTGTAGATTGTCAGTTCTACAATGCAATTACTACTACTAATTTTGCTGCTCTGGGATACAAAAATACCATTGCTTCTAAGAAGTGCCTAAATGCTGCATAATATTCACATATACAAGAGTAAAAAAATGTTTATCCCAGAGTAAAAAAGATGTAGTCTTGAACGTTCAGAAATGATCTTGTCAGGTGCTCTTTTTCCTTCCCCTCCAGGAGGGCCACAAAGTGCTCTTCTTGTTACGGAATAATGAGTTAAGCTCTTGTGCATTTTTTCCCTTAAGTGGGGCACTGTCTCTTGAACGAAAAGAACAGAAGCTGTGTGATTCCTAGGGGAAGGTATCAGAGCAACAGAATAATCCCTCAGGGCTCTGAAGAATTCTTGAACTATACAGAAGCAGACTAAGCTGCAATAACTTGGGAAGAAGGCCAGTTAAATTATACAAACTAGGCCAGCCACAGTGTAGTGTCACTTTTCTAAAACATACATGTAAGAGGTGATAAAATGTCAAGCTCCTACCACCCCTTTCCCATACCCTTGCTGTCCAAATGCTGTAATTTCAAAATTTGCATGTCTTCTTCATCCTTCATCTGGAATTCATGTACTCTGAACTATTTTGGCTGCCCTTCCTAGTCATGAGAAGCTTCTGCTTCAAGGTACAACTTGGTTATTAACTTTCTCCTGTGACTTTTCCAATGTGTTTTTGTATACTTAGATCGAACCAAAGAATGGACCACTCAGTGGGGGAATTTTGGTGACCATAAGGGGATCCAATTTGGGCATAAAAGCTGAAGATGTTGAAAATATAATGGTAGCAGGCACTGAATGTATATTTAGAGAAGAATTTTACTCTGTTTCTACCAGGTAAGTAATTGTCAAATGTTTTGAATTGTTGAAGGGGAGGGAGGGATCTATATGCCAAGGACTGGTCTGGCATTTATGTATGCAAGTAATTCTAAGTCTATTAATATGCATTGAACTCTGCTTCTGGAGACAACTGTCATATTTATCTTTATTGTAATGTGGTTTATAATTGTAATTAAGAGATATTTAATACTGATGTTTATTTTTATGACCTTACAAATACAATGCTAGTTTTCTCTTTGCTTATCCAGATGCAGTTTATTTCAGATTAAATGCATTAGTAAGTTCTCTTTCTTAGTTGTACTTTGTGAACATTTCCAGTGGTGTCACTCAGCCAAGTTTTATACACTAAATATTTACAACTTGATGTTAGCCAAATGAATAGGAGATAAGAACAGATATCAGCAGCTCCCAAAACATCTTATGACAAGGAGTTCCAGAACCTAACCTAGATGTGCTTATGAGGGCTCTGCCACCTCCCATAACTTGGCAGTTTTCACACAGAATGTGTCAGAAGCAAATCTACTTGGGGAAGCCTGGATATAATTGCAAGCACAGACTTACCATTTGAAGTTACATGGAAAGATTTTGTAAATACATATAGTATTTTGATAAATGATTGATTGGTCTGGATTATTTTAACTTTCTTTCCTATTATTTTAGATGCATGAATTTATAGGTGAATTTTTAGTGGATCCTTATGTTCATAATGCTTGTTAATCCTAAATATCTGAAGTAATGAGATAGCAGTATAGGATTAGTTTTGCATATGAACAAATATAAAGATATAACACATTATTCGGACAGACATAAGATGGCTGCTACACAATTCAAAGCCTACTGCTGTAGTAGATGAAGACAGAGTTTTCACAATTGGAGATATATACAGAATTTATTTCCCCCAGAATTCAGGAATTGGAATCAGAATTAAGAGTTTCAAAAATGAAGGTGAATATTCTAGAATGAGAGTATTCAGGGCAATAATTAAAAAAGCTATTTGGGAGATTATTTTAGGTACACCAAAGTGGCTGAGATGAAAGATGAACTTTAAGATTAATAGTGGTTTCCTGAAAAAAAAAATACAGCACTTGAACATGTGTTGACCAAGTTTATAGATCTGACACACAGAATATTATTGTGGAAGCTTTTTGATCTCAGCATAGAAACATGGAAGGTATGGAGATGTCTTTGTTTGGTAACATATCACTTCTTATATTAAAACAAAGAAGGAAGATCAAATATTCCTCACACTACAATTAAACAAAGATGGTATTGCATATAAGTGAGGATTCCCTTTTCAGATAATAAGAAATCAGAGTCACAAAAGGATTGTATTGAGGAAATGGATGAGGTCAGGAAGGAAGGAAGGAAGAAGGTGGTAGCTAAAGACTGTAAACTGATTGACATATAAACCACTGAAAAAGAAGAGGGACTCTAACTGAACCAGAAGAATAACTTGGATTTGATCTCTTTTCCTCCCTCCACTCTTTCTCTTTCATGAATCTCCTTTGTATCTAGATACAGATATAGAAATATATATTATTTAAAACATAAAATGAACAAAGAAAAAAATTATCAATACACATAGATAATCTTCATATTTCTTACACAAGAAGGAGAATAAAAGGACCTTGAGTTAGGACAAGACAGATATGTGTTTTTTCCCTGAAGAATACACTCAGAAGCAGACGGTGAAAAATTTCTTAGGGCAATGTTCAATGGAATTTTTAATCATAAATCCTCCTTTACAAAAAACAGAAGTTGTAGTTGCCTATAGAAATTACTTTATCTTGTTATGAGTACAGAACTGAAAAACTCTGAGGAACGTTATCATTATTGTTAAGAAAAATGGCAGGAGGGGGTATATTAAGTTAACTTTAGGTTGTTTTTACACACCAAATTCAAACAAATAAGAGTTCTGCAGACATGCAATTCTACATTATCATTGGATGGAAACTGACATAATCTCAGCAGAAGACCTTCATGCCAAGTTCCACCAAGTTTTGGATGCTACAATAACATATCATAGACATATTTAAAAAAATAAAAGATTCACAATCAACCTTTAACAGATGAATCAAGACATAATGACCTAGAGCAGAAAGATTATATATTCTATTCTTGTAGACAAAGAACATAGTGCAAGATAGATTATATTTTATGCCCCCACTTTTATTGAGTAAAATAGATGAGGTTGTTATAGGCTCATATGTCCTTGCAAATCATGCACTCTTGAAATGTGCAGTGCAACTTTTCATGAGAAAAATAGATATTAGATGGAAATGAAATGTCTGAAATAGGGGTTTGATAAGAGAGAAGGTATTAGACTTTTTATTATTATTAGTGATCCATCAGTGGTACATACTTTATTAGTTTGGGATGCATTTATAGCTTGACATAAAAAACTATTTATTACAGCAGGGATATGCCTGAAGGAGGAATGAAATAGAAACTATAATATAATTTTGAAAGGAATTCAGGAAGCAGAAACTGATCTGTAAAACAGAGGTACAAAAATTATTAAACAGTGGATAGACACAGCCAAATATTAATGATAAATTAATATTAATAGATGTTTGTTCTAATATTAAAGCAACATTTGACTTAGACCCAAAAATAGGATATGGGAACAGGCCAGGGAAGTATATAACAAATTTCTTGAAGGATAAAGAAGATACCCAGAAAAAAAACTGCGTACAGTTGTAAATAGTGTTAGAATATGTATAAATTAAGAAATGGCTAAAGAGTTTGTGCTTTTTCATAAGAATCTATATAAATCTAATAAACCTTTGAAGAAGAAATCTGTAATGATTTGGCTAGTGCATATTACTTTTGCTTACTGGACACCATCAGGGCCAATTAGTGGCAGCTCTGTTAATTGAAAACCTGCAACTTAAAAGTTGGCAACAGTAAAGCTTTAAGCCCAGGTAGTTTTATTTGCAAATTTTGTAAAGAGTTTAGTGATTTATGATCCCTAAAACTGGTTAAAATATTTGCTGAGGCATTCCTAAGAAAAAGATATTTAACTATTGGAGTAAAGGGCATACCTTTATGATCTACAAACAAGGAAAAATATGAAAAACCAGAACACTGTCATTATTAAAACTCCATTATAAATTTAGGATAACAATAATGAACAACAGAGTGAATAAAATAACAACAGACAAAACAGACTTTATGAAGAGAAAGCAACTTGCTTATAACACTCAGAAAATGGTAAAATTGATATATCATCTACAGAGAAAATAGCCAGCATCCATTTTATAGATGCTGAAAAAGCATTTGAGTCCATTGAGATGTCTAATACTCTTGCAAGTTTGAATTTGATCCAGCTTATTTATACTGCACCATTTACTAAGATAAATAATGCATAATGTTGCCTACAATAACACTACCAAGAGATGTGAGGCAAGGATGTCAGATATCATCATTACCTAAATGTGCACATAATATAGATTGCTTTTTAATATATTGAAATACTGTTTCAACAGGTAAAATAGGAAACAGGTATAAAAGACATTATTCTAAATCAGTGTGAATGTAAAGCAGTATTAAGTGGAAACTGCTCTGTTTTTATTGCAAGATCCTTTAAAATCAGCTGGAATTCTCAACAAATTACGTGAAACTGATTATGACTGGATATAAAGTGAACCCTGGAAAACTGGTCATATCATAATCATATACAGAGAAAGATCATTAAATAAAACTTGAGCATGTAACAGGCTGAAAATGTAAAACAAAATCTAGAGGATTTTCAGTCTCTAATAGTTTGTATTATTATCAACCTGTCTTATTAGTGGTTATAACATAATGGAACCAACCATTTAAAGGTATCAGGCAGGAACTGATATGCCTCTAGATTAATTAAAGTAGAACATGTGATAGAAGAAAGATTCAGACACATATAATCAGAAGTTTCCTCTTACCCTGGTTCTTAATATTTGGGAGTTTAAGGCAGCAAGAGAAATGAGGCAGTACTGTGATTTGTGAGTGGGTTGGAAAAATTCAGGGACTGTATTTCGCTGAGAGCTATTTATTCATATCTTCAACTGGCATATAGAAATGTTAATAGGCACCTTCCCTTTTTCCAGTACTTGCAAATTAGAAGCTGTTATGGTTGGCCAGGAATGACCCACTCAGCAATATGAACTCCATCTTAATTTGTTCTAAGAGGAAGAAACATCCATTTCACAATCCATTGCCAGTCTCTGTTGAAGACCGCATCACCTGCATGCTGGCATTTGATTTGCAAATTTGATTTCAAAGTCAAGCAGTTTCACTTAGCACACACAATAAAACACCTCCCAAGCGCATTAGCAAGCCAATTGCCCAGAGGCTCAAACAATGAGAATTCTTCAAGATACCATCTTGAAGCCTTGTCTGTCTGTCTTTCATTTTTGTACCTTTCAATAGTCAGTCAGCAGACTCAAGCAAAAGGTTTCTCTGAATTTACACGCAGGCAGGATGGAGCAACTTCATTGTGAAAGGAAGTTCAAGGTTAGGGAGTGGTTCTTCCAGAAAGAGAGGGAGGGTCTAATCCAAGCACAAGAAGAACTGTACCACAAAGACCACAGGTATTCCAGGGGCCAGGTAGGCAACTGAACATAGGCCAGTAATGGGTAGATTTGAGGGGGGGGGGGTTGTTTTATTTGCCAGTTGCCACAGAACAGCCGCTTTAAACCACTTACTGCTTTGTGCTCTAAAACTGGCTAACCCTTTTCTGTACTTCTTGTCTAGATTCCTAATAAATTTTTTACCATGTATTCATCAAAACCCACACTTGATGTTTTGGGGGTGAAGTGTAGAGACGTACAAGTGGGCACACCCTAGTATAGATGATGCTAATGATGATTTAACAGCCAGATTGTATGCAACATGCTAAGCAAAACCTGTAACCTACACTGTGCTGATCCTAGGACATGAGAGGGCTGCAAAGAAGCCGAGTACATGAGACCTCAGAGGGTTCCTTAGCTAATCATTCCCGAGGGACATACTTGGGAACTGAGAGGACAAGCTCTGCTGTAGTTCCAGTGGCAGTCATAGCACCAATCCTTGCACCTAGGGCCAGGTTGCCATGAGTGCCATTCAAACTATATTCTGGAAGCAACTGGAGGAGTAGACATGACTAGGCCTCATGTTTCTTAGAGACTTTAGTGAACTTGAACACAGAGAGAACAGTGTTTCAAAAATTTATACAAATGAATATATTTTAAAATCAACAACTTTTAACATTCAGTCACTCTTGTTTGTTTTGTGATTTACTGTTTTGTTTTATGTATTATTCTGTTTCAATTTATTTATTAGAAATTGTTGTTGTTTTCATTGTTCTTTTAAATATTGTAAGCCGTCCTGAGATTTTTATATAATAGGGCAGCATACAAAATCTTTTAATAAATAAATAAATAAATATGTGTATGAGAGCGAGATAATGGATCAGAGAGCAGGAAAGAGAACTAAATATCTCAGAGGAACAATGGAATCAAGTCTTCTCTAAAATATGTAGGAATGTATTAGCTGTGAATTCTAGAGAAATTTTCTATAAGTGTGTGGGGATGGAGGGTACTAAGTACAGTCAGGATCTTTTGGATGTTCCCAGAAGGAAAAGATAGGTGCTGGAGGTATAATGGTAGAAAACTTTTGCCCATATATGGTGACATTGTGATCCTGTTAAGGAATATTGGAAGAAACATAAGCTGATTTAATCCCAAGAACTATACACCTGCGTGATATTAAATATCAGATCCTTAAAGAATTAATGATTAGGCTGAGGTACATGTTAATGGCTACAAAAACCTTCTCAGCAAAAGCTTTGCTATCAATGTGAAGAGAGTTTCCATCTGCCACAGTGATGAATGAAGTAGAAGTTATAAGTTGCTTTGGGAGAGAATAACTCTATCCAGACTTTCCAAAAATGTTGGATACCACTTATCAATTATGACAATAGCCGCTATAGCTGTACTTCGATGAAGTACTGTAACTGTCTTGAATTATCGTACTGGCAAACATTTACAACTCTGCACACTAAAGAAACAAAACAAACAGACAAAATACCTCATCTTCTGTACTCAAATACTGCGTCTGCTAGTTATTTTTTGACCCAGACCACTGAAAGCAATGGGAATTAAGTAAGTTATTACTAACCGAAGTACCATTAATTTCAGTGGATCTTTTCCAACTATGAATAAGTCTGGATTCAACCCAACGTTAAGCTCACTTTGTAAAGAACATTTCTGTCTTGGCATTAGAAATATTTTAATTTCCCATGACTAATGTAAAATTAAGTGCAATACAGATTGAAACAATGGGATGCTAGTCTAGATGTTTGACCTTTTTTCTTTGTTAAATAAAAGATAGCACTCAGTGCAGCAAGGGTGAGATAGATACTTTAAATTGTAAATAAACAAACAATTGTTCATTGTTTGACTGCTTTGGGGAGTGAGAAAGATAGCTGCTTTTGCACTTGTTCTCAAGGACTGCTGGCTGCCTTCAGAGGAATCGGAATGTGAAGCAGAACTGGGGGTGCCTGGAAATGTGGGCCATGCTGAAACACTGAGATGAGAGATGCAGAGATGCTTATCTCAAGGCCAGACTTTCCAGGTGGGCGGGCAGGCAGTCACTGAGAATAACTATTTGCTCCTCTCCTCCTTCTCCCTCTGAATTTTCCAAAGCCCATCCAGCAGCCCTTGAGAATGTCCACCCAAAGCAGCCATCTTTCCCACTGCCAGCAACTATGATGAAGGGTGATCTTCTTCCAAAGTATTAGAAAAATCTTGCATGCACAGACTAAGGAGTAAGTCTCTCATAAGAGTAGTGCTTGTAAATAGAGATGTTGTAGGACTATACTGCCAAGAGGTGACATTCACTTCAGTGTTGTTCTGCTTCTGTCAAAATAGCTGGAAGACATCAATTCCTTCTCTGCCCTTCATACCCCTGTATGTTTTCAAGGTCTGCTCTACAGGGCCGGAGGACCGTCCAAAGCAGTGTTTTAGGAGCTGTGGGAACTGCAGGGGATAAGATAGGGTAGCTTATGCAACACTGACTTCCACCTAAGAGTCTGATGAGCAAAATTTGTGACTGGTTATATTTTATTTGACATTTCTTTCTTTTCAGGCCTCTAATCTAAACTTATTCCTATTTCTCTAACCTTAGCAACATATTACAGGAAGATAAACATTTTGATTTTTACCTACAAACTTACTTTGTTTCAAAATAGGATAGTATGTGAAGTTGGAAGTGTGCCTGAGCAAACAGAAGGTAATATTGAAGTTCAGATAAATGGAACACTGGGCACATCAACAAATGAAGTGCAATTTAAATATCAGGCAAGTATGTCTTTGTCAATACTTTACATTATTTCGCAGGCAGCATCTTGCTTTCTTTTTACATTTGGGACACAAATGTGCATACTTTGTAAGGAGAATATTGGTTTTTATTACTTTAAGGCTTTTCCATTGTCCTGTCACTTGTATTCAGACAAGCCTTTGGGAGTATATGGAGGTCTTTTCAGCTGGGCTCTGTTTCTATTCTGTTATCAGTATTTTATTGTGTTTTAATGTATTGTGCTGTTATTATTTTAATTATTATTGCAAGACACCTTGAATGCCATTTTCCTTGGTAGAAAGCTGGGATGCAAATCAAATGAATAAAATGGAAAGGGGGTTAAACATGTGCTCACATTTCCTGCATTAGAAATCCTAATGTTTACCACAAATCAGAACGTACCTCTCCCTCCCAAAAAATCAGTCGAAAGTAGTCTTATTCTGAGTAACGTGGTTACGGCATGTGTTCAAAGAAGAAAAAATGCTGGACAAACAGCCCTGAGCTCACTCCAAAAAGCATTTGTGTCTTCTGAAAGTATAATTCCTGGAAAGCTCAAGGGAAGGCACAGATGCAAACTCTCATCTGGCTGCAGTTCTCCTTTTACCTTACAAGCGGGCAAGTTACAGCCTTACCAATTTTGTTGGATTGCAAGTCCCACCAGTGTAGCTGGCAGTGAGCTGTGGTGGGAGGCATAGTGCCTCCAGTTACCTTACTCCAAGGCCAAAGAGAACCTAATGTGAATCAGTTAGCAGCCAGCATAAGGCTCTGATGAAGGCAAGAGGGCCCTGGCAGCATGCCCAAGCAATGCCACACTATGCAGAGAGCATCATTTCCTGCCAGAGAATCATTGACTTGCAGTCAGGAATCCTGGCTGAAAAAGAAGCTCTGAGCATAATTTGCCCCTGGTCAAGCAGCTCTACTAGAATGCCGAATCCTCATTAGTTCCTTCTGCTGCCCATTCCCCTATTCTCTTCCCCAGGGTTAGGGGTGTTCTGTCTAGAGAAAAGTGTTTCTTCTAGTGAAAAGCCAAGGTTGAAGTGCAGAAAATAGTTAAGCTGTGCATGCTTCAGTTCTGCTGGGTATAATTAAAGCAGGAACACAAACTCTTTTTGAGTTCTCACCCAACCCAAAGAAAAATATCAAGCTTTAAATCAAACCGTAGTTGAGAAAATAAATCATGCTTTCCCCTGGAACCAGTAAACTTAATAGCAAGAATAAATGTGCAGTTGCGGAATAAAACAAGTCTCAATCTCAAAGTGTTTTTGGATAGATGGCTTAATTCAGGTGTGGTGCTGGCAGACTGTAGCCCCCAATAGCCTTGCTAGCATAGCCAGAGATGAGGGATGATGGAAATTGGAGTCCAGAAGCATCTGGAATGCCATGCATTCCCCATTGCTGGTTTTATTCAAAACCATGGCTAAATAGAGAGTAAGATAATCTGACACATGATCCCATTAAGCCTTTAACCAAGCATACTGTCACCATGCCAAAGGAAGGGCCTCAACTGCTTTGCCACAGATGTGGTGCAAGTTCCTATAAGGCCTGCAAGATACAGATAAGTGATTCTCTGATGCATACATAGATATAATCTGTTAACTCACTGAAGAAACCTTTAAAAGAATTCTTCTGTTACTTTTTATGTCAAAAAAATAACTACTGAAATGTATCATGTTATAGGATGTCAGGGTTAAGTTATTCTCTTGAGCCTTTATTTTTCCGTTTGCACAATTTCAGCTTTCATGCAGACTAGCAGCACAGAGGAAGTGGATGTGGTTAAGTCACAAGAAGGAAGACGCTGGATAAATATACAATGCCAGGCAAAATTAGAAAGCAAGGGTGTCTGGGAGCAGTGCAGGCAACTCATTGCAGGAGTGGGCATATTGTAGTCCATTATGCTTTTGCTTTGAAATTCTAGCCCTGACACCACTGCCACTGTACATTCATGCCTTACCTTCATAATCTTGCATAAGTATAGGTGATACACCATTTCTGACACTGCTGATTTAAAACAGGTGCATCTGTCTCTGTTTCAAGGGGTACAGGGCGCCATGTGTACAGCTATTCGACCTTGTCTTGGTCACAAGGACCTCCACCTTCAAGGTCTGCCAATGAACTTGATGAAGATTTGAAATGAGACCCATTTGGTCTAGATCCAACACTAGTTATTCCAGACCCTTATAGATAGTAGTCAATTGAGATATGATGCAGCAATGAATGTCTATTGTGACTCATAAGGATCTAAACAAAACTCCCAAACACTTGATGAATCTAAATGACCAACTTGGAAGAAGATGTTTCCTTATATAATCCTTTTCCTTCTAGTCTCTGTTCGTCTGTGCTCTCTATAACAACTTCAGGCACCATTAATATTCATTTTCCTTAAAAAAATATCCTTTCTACTGAATAATAAGATCCTGAAAAGCTTGTTTGGTATGAAATTTGAGATATGTTATAAAACATAGAAATGCTCTTTCCTGCCTCCCTTAACATAATTGAGATGGATGGATGGTATAATAAATTGCTTTTCTGCCCATTGGGACACTCAAAACGATGTACAATTTAAAAACTCTAACAAAACAAGAAAAACAGAGAACAAAATCAAAACAGCCTTTAGAACAGATCAACACCAATATTAAAAACTATCAAAGACCAAGATATAGGACCCAGTCCAGTATTTATCCTACCAGCAGGAACATTCCTGGAGCAGAGTTCTGCTCATGACTGTCCTGGGGATCAAGCTTCATTAATTTTCCTCTTCCTCTGCAGCTCCCAGACCTTCTCATGCTGTTCAGAGGCTTCCTCAACCTGCCAGAGATGATTTTTGAGGGGTGCCTAGGGGAGTGCAGTGGAAGGGAGCAATTGGCAAAGATCATCTCCTTCCCCATTCCAAAATCAGAACTACACCAAAGCCTCAGTAGCCTGCAGGCAAAAGTGAGGTAGACTGTGGATCCAAAGCACATGTGTTTACACTTTCTTAGCAAAAATGACAGTGCCACAAGTAGCCATAATATTTGAGTTGCCTGTTTTCTTGGGGTTTATGACCTGTAGCATATTAGGACAGCAGTAAATAAACTTGGTTGGTAATTAGTCATAGTCTATTTGGTTATATAATTAATCTGATGATGTTGCTGCTGTGCACCAAGTTTTAGAATGCAAATACCTTTCAAACCACTTGGCCATGGCCTGGAAGCTAGAATCCAAATGTGGCTGAAACCTCTATTCTTCCTCCAAGATGTTTTCTGGCATTCAACACTATCAGCATCAGGCTTAAAGAATTAACAGCTTTCTTGTGAACTTTAGTGTTACATTGTCACAGTAGCAAAGTTTGCAAGAACATTATTAAAGATTTTTAGCCTGAGTTTAACTCAGGTTTTAGCTGCAAAACTTCCTTAGAGAAATACTAGGAAGGTATAAAGTAAAAGAAAAAACCATTGTGTCACCAACTTATAGGTGGCTTCATTTGTTATATGTGACATTTCATATTTTGTGCTAATTCTGATTTGTCCTTTCCCCCACCCCATCCAAAAGAGAATTTTTCTTTAGCAGATTTTTTTTCCTGCTAAAAAGTTGTGGACATTTTTTGACCATCCTTTAAAACAAAAAACAAAGAGAAGGTTCTGTAAATGGCCTAACTATTTGTTTCTGAAAAGTGCAGATATGTCATAGTCTACATTTGCTTTGGTTCATGGTGTTATGAACCATGTGATAAATGAAAAAAATATTTCTGAAAGCTTGCTGGCTTGCTAGACATTGGGAAATGTAATTCTTTCTCAGTCTTTCTTTCACTCTCTCTCACTCACTTTCTGTCCTGGCCTTTTGTTTTTGTGGTCATTTTATATGCAGCTATGCCAAATACATACTGAATCTATTTCTGTGCAGTCTCTGTGTTAATTCTGATGTTGAGATGCTCTCACTGGGCTTTCATTTGTCATTTCATGAAGAGGTAAAAACCACTTCAGAGCACAAACGGATTAAAAAAATAATAACAACCTAGAAATGCTAACTTACATCTCTAGAAGCATGGCATGATCTTTTACAGCTTCTGGCACAGCAGTTGAAGTTCAGTCTGCTTATATTGCTTAAGAGCCTTTGTTTGGGAGGATTACCTCTGGCCACTGTTTGTGTGTGATTTGTCCAGCAGAAGACTTCTGCTTCTGCTTCCTCTGCTTCTGCTTCTGCTTCTGCTTTTTTACAGAACAGGTCTCAAATCCCTCCTTGTTATATAAAGGTGGGGGGGGGGGTCCTGTAGATAAAGTAAAATGTTCCCCTAAAACGTTCTCCTTCTGGTAGGGCGGGAGAGTGAACGGTGAAAAAGTTCCAGAGCCATCCTTAACAAAAAATAGATGAGTAAGCAGCTTCTCAAAATCTTTTGGGAACGAGTGATATTTACCCTTCTCGAATTAATGTTTAAAAGTTCATTATCTCAATATATGAATGCCCCATACACAAATACATCAAGCAGTTATTTATGAGTTACAAGGAACCTTAAGCCTCATTAATGCTTTTTCCATTTTCCTGAATTTCTTCAAGTCAATCACATTTTTTTTCTAATTTGAAGTATGGCCCACTCAATCCCAAGAGAGCAAAGCAGTTAAGTGAAACATTTTAAGTTATAGTTATTTATAAATAGAAGAACAAGTAATATAGCATTTAAATAACTTTAAATTTGCAATTTTATTAACTAATGGTGCAATCTTAGGGTTTGTGAGAACATCCTAGGGACATGGGCTATAGAGGATTTTACCTTCCAAAGCAATAGGTACAGCTATACATCCAGAACATGAATCCAAGTGGGGACTTTCCCCACAGTGGGGGTACGGAGAGGAGGGGATGGGGACAATATGGAAAACCCACATCTACCAGGTTGTCTTTAGGGCCTGGTGAATAAGTTGGCTGTATGAGGTCAGAAATTTGTCTAGCTCTAATCAAAACAAAAATCAAGCAACAAGAATCTCTAAAACCTCTAGCATTCCTACCATTCTGCCTATTCTGGCCAGGAGAA